AGGCAGAAGATCCAGAAGTGATCGCTCTTAAGCCCTGGAAATGTGAAAAATGTGGCTCCAGGTTCAAGAATAAAGAAGGTATCAAGTATCATCTTTCTAAATCACAAACGACTTGCAATCCAAATTGGAAGGCACCGTCTACCAAGCCACGCCAACACGGTAAACCGCAAAAGGAGACGCCGAAAAAGGAGAAAGTGACAAAGGAAAAAAGTAAATCTGTGGCTTCTCCAGAGAAAGAAGTCCAACCTAAACCGTCAGATCAATCTGAGTCTGAGTCCGAACACGGCGACTCGGATGACTCCGTTTTTGAATGGGCTGCTAAAGTCGCTGGGCTGAAGAAATCACCAAATAAAAATAGAGGAGATCGAGGGGATCCGGTCATTGGTAGAGATGGAAAGGTTTACAAATCTTTGGGAGGGGAACGACCAGCACTTTTGAAAATTGCTGAAATCGTCAAGGAGAAACCATTGCTTGTTGAAGAACTCGCCAAGATCCCGTCATTACCTCAAACTCCAGAACATTCGCTTCCGAAATCAGTATCACCATTGTCGAAAGAGAAGGTTGTCAAAGATATCATTCTTTGTCTTCTTCAGGCTAACAACAATGCTTTACCGGGAGAGCGTGGCCTTTGGTTCGCATTTGTTGCATGCTGGCTCAAGTATTATCATAATTCCAGAGTGCTTCCGGAACACAAGTTATTTGTAAGAGCTCTTGATGAGTTACTTGAGGACGGAACACTTTCAAAGATCACATTTGACTTTGCAGGTGCTAGGAGCAGAACTATAACTAGGAGCATTTTATTTGATCCAAAAGCGGTTGCTCCAACCTCAGCTGACATTACCAAGATGCAAGACGATACAAAAGCGAATCATCCTGATTTTTACATTCCAGTTGGATTTTCTCCTCCAAGTGTCGTTTTGGAGATTTTGAATTCTATCGGAAAGCTTCCCCCTTTGGCCCCGAAGATTTCGGAAACGCAACTTAATGAGGTACTGGGATCCGATGAGGAGCTAGGCAGGGGTGATTCTTCAGATGATGAGTTCAAACCTGAGGTTCACGCATTGGATGCTGAGGATGACCTCGAAGATGATCCAATGGACCTCGATGTAGATTCGGATTGTGGTGGAAGCGAGTTTTCACCCTTCTCAGGATTTACCCCCACGCGAGAATTGCAGTTCCATCCATTGTACCAACAGGTTCCGGCAAATATTGATGGTAGTCAACCAATAAAACCTCGCACGAGACGTCCTATGCACACTTCCAATTTCGAAGAGCCAGAAAGAAGAAAGCGTATAATTGCTTCACAAGAACATGTATGGTCACCACAATCAACAATGTTACAAAACTCTGCGAATAGCGCATGGAATACACCCGCCAAACCAAAAAGAACCTATAAGTTGAGAGAGCGTCTTCCGGAGCCAACCACGTTCATACAAGGTGATTCTGGCTCTTGGTCCGTTAGACCTTTTGGACATGGCGTAAATCCCATATTTGCTAGACCAAATAAGATTACTGTTGGAAATCCTCAAGGCGAACATTATCTTCAGCAGCGGGAGGATAGTCACCGACCAGTCATTCATCCTAACAAACCAATCATGCGTCCTTCCGTTCCATCGAAGTTCTTTCTCAACAAGAATCTTCAAGGAGATCTTGTTGGTCGACCAGATGGTCAAATAGAGATCTCGAAGACAACTGGACAGCCAAAACGAAATTATACATATCATACCAGATCACAAAAAAACCCTGATATATCAAGACATACTGGACTTGCCAAGCGTGCTTATAGATCATTAACCCCAGATCCTATGGACTTGACGGAAGCTAGTATTAATGGCTTGACTGAGCTCGATATTTTGAATCATTATGAGGCTAAACCACTAGAAAAGGAGATCGGTCGCCAGAACAATCCTGGTTTGGATAGCATGCCATCTACTCCAGCGACACCAGGTCTATCCCATTTGTTTTTCGATGAATCTGCTGGACTATGGAATCTTGCACATCCATTCGTAGCTTGCACCGATGCTGAAAAGCTGAAGATGCAATGGCTTGATCGTACTGCTTTTACATTGGAAACTATACCATACTCAGCTCTCGAAGACAATGATGATCTACCACCAGAGCAAGAAACTATTATTGGAGCCAAACGCAAGAGACAACAGAAAAAAGAGCCACATGTAGGTGTACGCAAAGGTCTAAAGAACAAATGGGTAATGCCTAGACGTCTTACATCTGCGCCGGATGATCTTCTTGGTGTTCATAGAGATGTTCGATATGCCGCAGAGTTACTCGGTACTCAGATGGTCAATTATGATATGAACATCCGCAGAAAGAGACAAAGATTCAAGGAACAAGGTTTAGCTGTTGATGAAGAAGCGAGATTGACCATGGGTATTGTTATCATTCGAGCAATGCTTGGAGGATTAGAAATGAACATTGATTGGGTTATTCTTGGAACGGTCTTTAAAGATTATTCCTTGAATTTCCTGAGGAAATGGTGGCAGGTTGTTTGGGCTAAGAAAAAGCCAATGGTCGATAAATTGACAAAAGATTTTCAGGAGGCTTTCATCAAGGGATATCGAAAAGGTCAAGTTCAATCAATCGATTATGATCATATTGTCGACTATGATTTCAATACTTTAATCGATTGGGCCATGTCAAAGATCAATACTCCCACACAAGAAGAAAAAGTCTTTGACCTTCCAAATTCATTCCCAGAACTCAAGAAAAAATATGCCTTAGTCCCCGAAACCCGAAGTAATTACTGGTCTGAACAGTATTATTACACCCTTGCTGCCGTTTATCAAAGGATGAATCTTGTCAATTCTGTACCTTTTTCAAATCCATTGAAACCAGATGCTCTCAATTATGAGATTACCGACTATGCACTTGCAAAATCTTGGTGTAGGGCCGCAGCCGTTACACCAGATCATTTATGGGATAGTAAAGCAGCAAACAAGTTGCTCAATCGTCTTCCAAGTGCTATCATCATTGAAGCTAGAGAAGATTTGTTGAAGAACAAGATAATCACCAAAAATAAACGTCTTCGTACTAATGGTCGAGTTTACAATCTTCCAGATGCTTTCAACGCTGTTTTCGTTCGTACGGGAAAGATCATTTTTGAGAAACAATACCGAGAGGCTTATTTATTCAAGTGTGAATTGGATCAAAAGTTTCGAAATGGGGAGACTATTGTGAACATACCTTGGGGTGTGAATGAAGGTGCTGTGTTGGCTATTACGAATCTACAAGCTAATGGATGTATTCACATTCAAAAAAGTAACATCAGAGCGAACAAATTTGGTCTCACCGAAGGCGGGTACGAAACAAGACTTATTGATAAAGCGAAATATCGGTTTCAGATGGATATCGCGCCCACTTCAAGTTATGTTTACAACCACACAATACCTAACCTTAACGCCATGATTTCGGAGCCTCCATTTGTTGGAGCAAGAGGTGCACTCCCGGTTTGGAGAAGTATAACAGGAGAAGTAATTGAGGGAATGTGGAGAAAAGTACTCTTAGGAGTTACCGGTGCATTTGTTCTACGAAGTAGTATTGATATCGAGGGATTGGAAAGAGTATTCGCACCGAGTCTCGACGCATGGGAAATCAAACAATTGATTGATTGGGGAGTTGAAAGGGGTGTTTGGCAAAAATGTGATTATGAAGGGTTGGGAGCAACTGCTAAAGAGGCACAAGATATGGAAGGTTGGGAAGTAGGTGATTGGTGGTGGATGATTGTGGGGAAATATTTGGTGGAGAGTGATCAGTGATGGAGCTGAAGTAGTAGATTTTGAGATCTTTTGGAGTTTTGGTGAAGATTTGGGGCACAGGGCGCGAAAGGGGGGAAAAATATGATGCACTATTCTGTAATTATTGCATGGTATGGAGTTTCTGGGAGGGGTGGGATGAAAGAGCAAGTATAATTTTACTGCTGGCGCATAGTCTTTCGACAGCACACACTTCGTGCTAGATCAGCTTCGTTATTACTCAACGAAATATAATTATAGAAACAATCAATTTACCCCAAAGTATTTTGGTAGTGATCATGGATTGTACCTAAATTTAAAGTCTCGATGAGTTTTCCGTCTCCATTTGAATCAGAGACACATTTATCTCATGTTCAACGTTGACAATACACTGTCATTCTCCATATATGACCTTTGTTAAGACCTTATCACCCTGAACACATTCCATACAACCGCTCTTACAATTATTCGCAGAAGCAAGTGTTTGAATACTTTCGTAACATCTGATCGGAGCCGTTGCGCCTCGTAATAAAGAGGTTGTGGATAAGAGAGCTAAGGCTGCCGTTGATGGTGCTGGGGTAATGGGGAAGAAAGAGTGGAGGCTTTTGTTGATCATTTGGCGGGGTAAAGGACTGAGTTTAGATTGGTAGGAATGGTGAGATAAGTGGGCGATTTGGATGGTTAGAGTGATGAGTAGCCATTTGTAGATGGACATCTTGAGGAATGTGGAGATGGATGGATGTAAATAGGTAAGCCCTAGCGTAGTGTGGTGGATTCGTGGTGTATGATCATTGTCGTTAGAAAATGTTGTTTGGGTTTGGTAGGAAACTGAGAACTTTGAATCACTTCTCTCACATTGTAAATCGGGTTTGGGGAAGTTTTGATTTGTATTAAGATGTTAAGGGACCTGGTGAACGGGTGAAGTTAGATTTAGCCTTCAAAATACGTCGCTGTACGTTATGCGACCGGAAAGCCTGAAAGCCCTGCAATGTAACACTAAACTTACGGCTAAAGCCTGAAGAAGCTTGGACGGTATCAATCACGTGTAGGATTGACACGGAACTAGTGGCTTGGCGAATATCATGCTCATCTTCATTTCTTTAGCATTGTCTTATATTGTCATCTCATTACTTTAACAAAGTATCACATTCACAGGTTCTCGATTTTCTCATCATCGCCTTTTACTTGTTCAATTATCTCATTTATTTGTAGATAAAATACCAACTACAAGCACCCTCTTTCGTTATTCAATTAATCATAAGCAAACTCCGTTGAAACGACTTGTACTTCATCGATATCGTCCTCCTCGAGTTCCAAATCATTCTTTTCCTTCGATTGTACTTCTGATTGTACTTCTGATTGTACCTCCGGATCGTTCGACTTACCTTGTTGTTGCTACCTGCGGAAACGGTCACAAAACCACAAAAATGAGCTACCATAGCTGTCTTCATTCCCGAGACTCGAGCCTTCTTCTTGCACCTCATGTACCGCATAATCCCGGTCAATTAACCTGTCTGCGCTCTGATTTGCTCGCTTGTGTGGCTGATCACTCTCCGTGTCATTTGGTTCATTGGTTGAAAGCTCAATGCTTTTCTCGATTTTCGTTTCAGCAGTCATATTGTCATTAACGTCAATATCCTCATATATGACTCTATTCTCGAATTTGTGCTCTAGAAGAGAAAATTCATCCTCGACTCCGATTCTACTCTCGTCCTTCACCATATCAGTGTTGTTCACATAGCCTTCAATATGCTGCTTCGTAGTGACATCTACCCCCTCGGCTTCCTGTGCTTCATGATATGCAATATCATAGACGTCTTGGGCCTTTTCACTTTCTGCTTCCGGAGACTTATTTATCGTGACTACAACACATGCGAAATCTTCGCAAAGTTTCTTGATAATACCCGCAATGTTTTCGTTGTTCGCTGCTTCAATGGTTCTCTTGGTGGTGACTGCAGTCCAAGCGGTATATTCTTCACACATTTCCCTGATGATGTCCTTGATTCCGCTCATTGCTTCAGCTGTTCCTGTATCGTCAAAGCTTTCGTTTTCGTCTATTTTGTCGCTAGCGAAGCCACCTTCTGTGGCTTCATGATTGTCCACTTTGACACCCTCTTTGTCATTAATATCATGACTTTCATAGTTTTCGTTTTCTTTTGTTTGGTCATCATAATGATCAACTCCAACACTAACATCATATAAGCTAATGTCAGTACCCTTATGTTTGCCTTGATACTCTTGGGTTCTTCCGCAATAAAATTTTCAGGAATATTCACTTCAGGACTCTTATCTTCATCCAAATCTTCATCCAAATCTTCGTCTCTAGCATCTTCGTCCTCAGTGGTTACCAAAAATAATTGGCTCGCACGTCTTTCAGGTATCAGTTTGGGGGTTTCGAATAAAAAAATTGAGGTGTTGCAACCCTCTGGAATGAGCCAGTGACCCGGAGATTGATTCTCCAGAGTTTCCAGATTTACATCGCTTGTGGAAGAACCAGTAGTACTTGAACTTTCAGATTCGGCTTTAAAATTCTGGCTATACAAATCACGAGGCGCGTCTTCTTTGGTCTCAAGAGTTTCTGAATCTATCACGATTAAATCTTCAAGTCCTAATTCCTTCGGGCAAAAGGTTGGTATCGCCTGTTTCAATTGTATAAGAGAGGCACGGGACTGATTCTGCCGATTCTGGTTCATCTCCTTCTTGCTCTAAATAGATGCTGCTGGGTATCTCACTAATTAAATATGCTCGAAATTTTTTGGTGTGAAGAAGATCTGCCTCTCCATTGTTCACACTTTCCAAAGCTTTTGCGGAGTACAAATCAAGATCGTTCTCCTCAACATCATTCTCCTCGATATCAACCATAGAGAGAATTTGGTCAATTAAACTGCGTTTAATTTCTTGGGGTGGCAGATGAGACGAGAGATTTCTTATTCCAATGAAGTCTTAAACATCGGAATCAAGACTTGGAGCAGACAATTTGGGTAGTATACTGGCTTGTAGCACAAGACTCCAGAATTCTCGGAAGCCGAGGCTGGTGTATTTGTTTTGGCTTCGTAAGTCACAGAGTCGTCGATTTGCATTTTGATTATTTTGATCGTTTCCAAAGTTGGAAATATTATGCGCAGCTCTCTATGCTCCCGGCAAAGTTTGCATTCATAACTCGTGAGCTGCAAGATATCTCGGCCCATGACTCTCCTTATCGCTGGCACTTTGATTCTTGAAACAATTGCTCAGTAAGCAAAAAATAATCAGCAAACGTGTGGGTTATTTCTCAAGGAAACATTTCTGTGAAATTTACCACAGGATGCGAAATCAAACAATGAAGATTGCGATGAGTGCAGCCTTTCATAAGTGCGAATTACAAGGAACAATCACAAGCAAGAGAACTCGGTATCTCTTGGTGTCGTTTAGTCAAACAAAGAGATCACTAGTAAATTTAGTAGTCCTAAACCCTTATCCAGAACTCTGGGGCTTCAACAATAGACCACGGTATTGAAGTCACTCACAATCCTACTGTTCACACATGAAAAAGTCAAACTCGAAGAAAAAAATTATGAAATTATTATATCCTTACCTGTCAGTATAACACAATGTCCAGCATCATAGCATACCTTATACCTTACTTCTCAAACTCACCAAGTAACTTAAATGCCGGCATTTATATTACATTCGGCAATCTCTCACCAGAAACTCTTGCCTGTTCCGGCAATGCCACAACCACGGCACCCCTTCTCACGTTCGCACTCGTAACCCCCAATATATCTCCCAGTTCAATATCTTCAAATCGAGCAGCTCTTGTATTCCTCTCCATTTTATTGCGTCTTCCTATCGATGCGGTGATTTCAACTCCTCTTTGAAACCAACTTTTCATTTCTGTTCGACTTGGTGTTCTTTTGTGGTTTTTAATCTTGAGGAAGATATAGCGGGGAACATAGATTAGGAAGATGGAAAGGAAAATGAAGAAGAATGTTACGAGGGTAAACACCGCGATGCTGTCGCCTTTGTTAGAGAGACCCATTTTGTTGTAATTAAGATGCGTTGGTGATGGAGGTTGCTGCAAGATTTTTGTCGTGAATCCTGTCAAGTGATTGAGGATTTGGTGGGATGCAAAATTGAGAAGTAACTTGGAGGGGAAGAGGGACGGGGGCTTAAGATTACTTTATGGATGTAATTGAGGCATTGTTCTTATTTTCTCAAACAATCAAAGACGCTTTGCTTTGTCTCTATGTTTGAATGTTTTTGTTTGAAGGCATATCCTAAAAATAGTAACAAAGAAGTCTTTGTGTTTCGCTGTAGGCCCGATAACATCAAATATCTTTTACTTCTATCGTGTAGATTGATTTTGATATTACATTTAATTTCACTGAATGATTCGATCCCTAAATCTTCCTCCCAATTTCGAGCATTCCCTGGAATGCCAGTGCAATATATACAGGAGTCTTTTCCTCCACACCCCTTTGGTCCGATAACATTCTGTCGCTGTTTCACATCCAGTTGTCTTAAACCCTCAATTTGCGTTGATTCTCATACAACATTCCCCAGAATGAAGTATAGAGCTCGAAAGCTAGCTCAAGATTTCTTGCCTCTCATCTCTTTATCTTTGTCGCTTTTCTACAACATTCTCTGATAATGAGCACGTGACCAACTCTGGACCTCGTTCGGAAGTCGGCTTCATCTGTGGTAGCGGTATATTTGACAGTGCATCTTCATTCGGTTTGTTGACAAAGATCGAAAGTCAGAAAAGGATCTGTACGTGTGGATCCTTTGGGATACCCTTCAAGGATTGTACTCTTCTGATTCGTGTCCTAGTATGATTTGCGGTATGGATGAGCCGTCCAGTAGACATCACTTCTGCTCTGATCTTTCGGCTCTACGTCCTACTCGGAACCCACGGATATGAACGCTCATATCGTGGCTCTGGTTCTTCATGCTACGCAGCTGATACTCGTATATCAAAGAAACAAATTTTACAACGATATGAAACACTCAGTCCTTAGTCCATCTTTTCTTCTTCGATGAAAGTTTTCCCGTTTCAAAATTTCCAGCATAATTCTTATTTGGATCTTTCGCTTCCCATGTGTGATACGTATTCGAATTGTGTGGATTTTTCTCCGTATTTGAATATGATGCGGGTTCATATGACCATTCTATCGTTTGTGTTTTCATTATTTCCAATCTTTTTGAATCAAACGAAGAATCTGATTTGCCGGAGGAACTCAAAGATCTCGAGAATACATTCGAGGATGTGCTGCAGTTTGAACTGTAACTCGGAGTTTGTGAACGATGGGATTTTGGAGATGATTTGTGTCCAGAAGGTAGTGCGATGTCAATGGCCGAAGACGATTTTCTGAGTGGCATTGTTCTGATATTCTTTCATTTCGTATGTAGAAAATGATGGAAATATTGAGCCAGGAAATTGAACATTGTATAGAAACATTTTAGATCTTGTCAATCATGTTTTGATGAAAGGATTAGGTGGGGTTAGACGACCCAAGCGGGATGGTAGAAGGTCTGTTCGACGCTATAACGGGCACTAACATCTCCACGTGGCAACACTAACTGATGGACAAAGACCCTACTATGCCGTTCCGACTTTCTGGATTGAAAAGTTTAAATCTGCTCTTGGGAATACAGGGAAACGAGTGATGATCTTTTGAGCCAAGAATTTAGTTCATGACACACGTCCTTAAAAAAAAATTCCGACGTCAGATTACTGATAGATTTTCAATTAGGATATAGTCATCCTTTATGCCCTATCATACAACTGAAATCTTATAGTCTTTTATCTTTTAGTGAAGAAAAAATTTGGCTTCTGGATTTTCCCCCTTACCTTGGAAAATAAGAACATTTCAGGCTTCTCCTAAAACATATCAAGAATGATAGGCAATGATGTTTTAGAAGCCATAAACCATGTGGTTTAGGTAATCAGAGCAATGTAGATTTATCGGATAAATATTTCTAGCTTTGACTGTAGTGTTTGGACCCTTTAACGTCCTGATGTCAGGTTGTGGTTCAATCCTAGTAGAATTCGTTTTCGTTTTGATCTTGATGTTCTAAAAAGCATGCTACTACTGCAGGAAGACGATCTAGTAATTGTCATGATATTCAAGATCGACCGTTTCATGTTGAAGTCAAAAGTAAACGTACCAATAGTAGTTCATCTGATTGTTGATCATGGAAAATTCCAAATAGTCCAACCTTGGAAAGTATGGCCATTTCATTTGGACTTGTCACGGATCTCGGAAAATTATATCTTCCCGAATACTAGCAAAAACTAGGAATAGGTAGGGCCGATATTCACCCACTAAACACGGTCGGATAGTTTCGGGCGAATTTGGGAAACTTGTACCCTCTTTTTACGGGCCGAGTAGATTTATTCTGTGAGGAAATTTGATCTTGAGTTTTCAATGAAGATGATTTAGTGTAAGAGTACTCATCTTAATTCCTTCTCAATTTTCACGGAATTTTAAATAGATCATTTCCAGTCTCAAAGACTTTTATCAAAGAATGGGCGATGCCAGTATAGTAATCATGGAAATCAACTAACTCATCTGCTTTCCAGATCAGTTGATTAGAATGGCATAAGGATTTTGTACTAAAATACATCCAAAATGACGCCCAATCTAGTGGGCGAGTGTCTTCAAGAGATAGAGAGACCGTCGAACCTTGAGATTGTATGATGCCACATATTGTGATTCTCGCAAATAGGATAAATTTATTAATTTCAGCATTTCTCATTTTGCATTTCACATTCGTCCAACTTTGGGAGATGTACTAACATGGTTTACATCCATCCTATGATATGCCTTGCTCCTACAACTTTGGTATAGCATCCCGAGTACTGTAGCCCCTTCATCATGTTTCATAAGACTGGCATCGTGTATACCGCGCTTGCGGCATAAGACCGGTATTCTATAGTCGCATTACTTCCTATAGCAATGCACTATGCTTTTAAATCTCCACGTATCCTCAAAGAACCAACCATCAATCTAGCAGATTACTGTGAAAGTGCGGGTTCGTTTCCCCGAGCTGGTGGCTTTTTACAATCATCAGTCCTTAATTTCCAAATACTCGGGACAGCAGAGCCAGTTTGACCAATCGCTATAGAGAATCTAACTGAAAGAATATTGATTGCCATAAGGAGGAAAGCCTAAACGCAAGATTTGCAACACCATACCACACCAACACCAACATCAATGGTGTCCAAGATTTGATTGGTTCCCGGGTAAACCCCAAATCATGCCTGTAAGTCTAGTAAATCTGAGCTCGTAACTGCAATCCTCTATCATGGTCGTAACGGTTGTGACATCACGCGCGCCGATTATCAAACCTACGATAAGATGGATTTGATACAGATCCATGCGTATCTGTTTGAGAGAAGCCAGATGCATCGACGATGGCACAATCTTGAGAAGAACTCTTGGTGAATCCAATACACGGGTGGATAAATAAGTGCGGGGTAAGTAAATTCGTGATCAGTAAGGCACTGCAGTACGACAGAATAACATTTTTCAACCGTTTCAATTCTTAAAATATCCTTTCAATACACAGCAGGATGTAATATTGATAAGGCTTCAAACTAATGGATCTGTAGTTTTTCCCAAAAATCAATCGAGGCGTCAAGAGATGTTTCATGACAAACGACATTCCAACTGTTGTTTACTTTGCACCAGTAGGTAATTGATGATACTCTCAATGACGAACAGGTGTTCCCGTTCAAAGCTAACGGGAATTCCGGATTACATGGTGCTGTCAAGCACTCACGTGGAAGTTAAGGTTTGGAACCCTACTAACCTTAATTGGTGCAATCTAACTTTGATAGGCACCAAGGTACGCAACTTCAATCCCCTGAATTGATAAGAATCCAAATGTAACATATTTTGTTAAATTCAGTTGGTTATACTTTCAAAATGAGTTTCCCAAGAAATGTTTACCATGGTTTTAACTTCATATGACATTCAGACAAATATTCTGAATCTCGTGTGGATAAGTGTGGCAAGATTGCTGCTTTGGCTCAATACAATTGTTGGAATTTTGTTGGCTATGGATACAAAATAACCAACAACAATTAATGATTTCGCATAGCAATATCCCGAAAATTGAATATTCCAACAGAAGGATTCTTCTGTTTACTTTATAGTCACGAATGGAGTCACTAGACCAATCGATCTTATCCTTCGAGTAATTCTAGACCAGGTTCTTTTCGAGTGACATCTAGGTCGCAGAAGATGAGACCGCTCATATACGTGTCATATACGAATATTGTGGAAACTTTCTTTCCAAGGAATATCTAGAATTTCCGATCATTTCCAGTGTTGGTATCTTATCCAAATCCGAAAGGAAGAAACAAAACAAAACTCTATAAGTACAACATGTGAGAGTTTCATACATACCAAGCTTCCCCCCTGTACCCCCTTTCCTTATTCCTGTATTGGATATGAATGTTTTCTCAAACGGTTATGATGATGGCCTAAAACAAGGATTTTCGGAGCTTAGTTGATACCGGCGGCAAACCTGATCTCCGGAACAAAAGCACCAATCGTAGAATTTATTTCTTTTGTGGATCTAATAGACCAAGAACACAGCCTTCGCTTGACCTTGTTCACAAGAACGATACGCGGATTGATAGGCCCACAAAATTAGACGCATGTCCCCCAAAAACGTGGTGATCATATGAAACGACTGGATAAGCGAACTGCAACCGCTTGGTACCTATTTCCTCATTTTACGGCACGGTTCAGTTCACTCATTTCTTAATATAAAAAACTTTTGGTTGGGTCGGAAATGGAGACAGCCTTATGGTGGATCTCGGGTGGATTGTGACAAGCGCGAGTGGGGTGACCCAAGTGGTAGGCAGATCTTAAATCTCTAGGCGCTGGCCATGGGGTACTAGAATATCGTGTTAAGTAGGATTTCGTGATTTGGTTGTACGGAGTTTTCGGTTCTTTGATATATGTATCTGTCTATCCTCCTATTTGGAAGTTAAATCTCGTACCACACAAGCATTCTTCGTATATCATAACTTTATTGTTTAATAAATTAGCTCATACTATCCTTAACGATTTCACTCCATTATATCATTACGACTTTGAGGATTTTACAACGGTTTCATTCTCATTCACGAATTTCTCTCTCAATATATACCAACACGAATTTACAATTCACGAAAACGTTTTTCCACACTTTGAAAAACATCTGTCATCTATTCTCAAGCAATTTATGCTTGGTCAGGATTTCATTCAATCATTCATTCGGAATTTTCATACTTGTAAGTTTATTCGTGCCAGAATAATATGTTGACAAAGACTAATTGAGGTAGTAAATCATGTCTTCATCTACTTCACAAATGGCCGGCGGACCAATTATCTCGATATCAGATATGGACAACTTTATGAAGCTTGGAGAATTAGCACAGAGCACACGAAGTCAAAGACCAATAAAAAAGACATCATCAATGGATTTCGACCTTCTTCGAGCATCTGGTGATGCAGCACGTCAAAGAAGAGGAAGTAATGCTTCCGAAGCATCGAGTTGTAATACACCCACATATACTCCAAGATCATCCAGTCTCCCAAGCGCTAGATCTACACCTTGTGCAAGTCCTTTATTACGACCTATGGGTACATGCGAAACAGGATACGACTTTATGGTACCAGTTCACCCAACAACATCATGGAAGAACACTTCTGATCCAGGATCGGGATTTGATGGTAATTGTTTCGGGAGGGATAGAGATTCATTTATGGGATTGGATATCAATGTTGGATCACCATTCGAGATACATTCGCCTTTTGAAATCGGCATGGCTTCGGATTTAAGAATTGTTGATGCGCATGGTTATTGAATAGATTGGACCGGTAGAAATGAATTAGGAAAGGGGTGTTATGATGGCGATATGAAAATGATACCAAATGAAAATTATTCTCTTCTCGATTTTATTACTACCTGCCTTGATGATCTGACAGTGAAATGAAACTACATAACCATCTCTCGAAGGCTATCTTTTCTCTCAGAAGGATGGATAGCATGCAGTGAATGCATAGTAGGTCTCCAACTCGCTCTATTCTCGTTCCCTATAGTCTTGCGCGTGGGAAGGTATTTCTGCCCTATCAATTTCGGGCAGACCATACAACGTCACGTCAACAGAACAACCATCGATTCTCCATTTCTAGATCTACAACAATCGGTATTCTCCCCAGATTACTAATGATGCACGACACTCGTACGGGCATATTAAGATCTACACACAGTATACAAGGCTTCCAATTAAAAATTGGATAGCCAAGATAAGATGTGATTTCGAACATGTTTTGCCCCACCCTGGCGGTTACAGTGACATTTCCAAACGATGTAAAAATCATCAACTAACTTTGAGAACTATTCAGCCTCGTTTTGCACCCAGCTATCCAAGTTAATGCAAGAAGTATAAAATACTTATACTTCGTAGTGATTGGGGCCTGATTGGGGGCTTGTTGGGGTAGGTAATGGATGGCTGTGTATAAAGTTTATGAATATTAATAACCTTAGGAAATAATGATCTTCTTGGGGTCCACTGTTCACCGCGTTTGTCATAGATAAGGTATAACATTGGGTTGAGATATCGATGGAAATATCTTGTGATGACGTGAGTACTAACTCTGACATCTTTAACTCGTATCGGTATCGTATTAGGCTCTTGTTGTGATTATTTGTGATAGGTACCTAGATACTTTGTAAAGTGATGTGAATGTGAACATGAGATTAATAAGTTTTGAATGGGTTTTAGTGTTCTTCACGTCATATTCACCGCGATTGATTAATAATGACTAAGCAGATTTGATGTCCACCCGGCACCTGGTCTTGAACCACAACGGGCTACCTATGACGGCAATAGATATGATCTAGATTCTTCAGACCATAGCATCGATCTATCATATGCATGTTGACTATTTAGATGAAACCCTCTTTCCTGTTTTGTTCTGAGAACCTGTTGGTCTTCAATTCTCTTTCTCCCTTATGTATTATCATGCGAATCTACATGTTTGAACTTTGTTCATACATGTAAGCCCTCATACATGTGTTTATCACGAAGTACTAGGCAATGTCTTCCTTCGTTTTCCTCTTCAATCAATTCAATCGTTAATTGAATATGTTTTCTCCTGGAGCGAAGCGAAAAAGCCTCCACGGCAGTGGCCTAGCGGAGCGTCATTGACTAGAAGTTTAGGGTCTAATGACCGGTACGATCCTGAGTTCTAGATCTTCATTTTCATACCTACGTATAGGAGAATGATTTAAGGGTCCAAGATAGTTGATACGTTGTAAATGCAACGCCTTTGTGAACAAAATGAAATCAAACGAAGTATGCATAATATCAGTATATTTGTATGGAATCTATTCTGATCTCCATCAATTTGTGGATGAGGTCTTCCATATGAAGAACCTTCTTTAAAGAGAGACTACCAGTATCTAGCATTCGTTAAATAATAGGGGTTGTTTTTGACATGCAAATTTGAAATGGGCACTTGGTAAAATGTGGCTTCCCAGAAATAGGCAATTTTAGCTTGGCAAAGCTTGTCTTGTTTGTTCATGCACCAAAAATTAATTATCAGATGAACCATCGATACATTGTTTACTCTCCACAAGTGAATTATCGACATCTTCATTTTATCTGTATTTACTTGCTTTTGTTGCATTTTTTGTTTTCAATTCTTGTCATTCATTAAATCTTTATTTTGATACCCCTATTGTAACGTGATATTAGTTTTATAGAAAAAAATTGAGGGTTGGAGATTGAATCGCGAACCCGGCAAATCTTGAGGAAAGGAGTTGAATCAATCCAAGAACTAAGACAACAAGATTTTGCTACGTCGCATACAAATGATATCGAAAAGGGACAATGTATGAACCAGAAATAAGAGATTTTTCACCTGGGGGTATAGACTCATCATCAAGAACTGCAAGATTTGAATCGGAGCCATTTCCTAGACTGAGCCGTGAGTTTCTTTTGCAACTTGAATCAATCAATATATTTGTGCGACGACGGCACATATCATTCTCCTCACTCTGAGAAATTTTGCACACGTTCTCATGCCTTCCGATGGATATCATCCTTATGCGCACATTCGCAACAATCTGCTTATTCTCAATTTGTAGATGAACTCGAGCCTACAATGTCTACTCAATCTGCCCCAGATTCCATGGCGGGACAATCACCAGTTCGACGTCGCGCAACTCGTTCACGAACCAACACCTTTCCCACTGTTGATGTTTCACCAAGTCAACCAGAATGGCATCCAGGACAAGAACCTGGTTTGGATCCATCCAAACCTTATGGTGGTCGAACTGCCAGCTTCAACCTACACGAGGATTGTCAAATAACTCTTGTGGACTTCAGTCAAGAGAAAATAGTCAAAAGAGAATTTAATAATGATGAATTTGTTCGATTCATGGACATGGAACAAGAGGAGTGGATTAAATGTCGATGGGTCAATGTTAATGGTCTAAGTTGGGATGTGATACAAGCCATTGGCAAGAAGAAGAAATTACACAGATTGGCGATTGAGGACATGGTTAATCTCAATAATAGGACAAAGGCAGATTGGTGAGTTGTACAGTAAATTTTGATGGTTGAGGACTAACGATATGTAGGTATACTGACCATACTTATGTCGTTTTAACATTACAAAAACTCGTCCATTTACATCCAGATAAAGATAGCGATTCGGAAAGCGATAGCGACGACGAACAAGATATAACACTGGAGGCTCCAAAGAAAAAGAAGCGAGGACCATTCCGTAAAGCGTTATATAAATTCATGAAACGGAGGAATTCCAATGCTACACCCATCGATGCGCTGGCAGGCGGTGTTCATGACACAACTAAGGAATTTATTACTGGGCATACAGATGGTGTACAATCTTCCCCAGTGCAAAAATTAAGGACTTTACAAAGATATCATGGAGGACCAAACCATGAAAGAGCAGCACATATGGAGAAAATTTCTCCTCTGACACAAAAGAAGTTGGCTGTTAGTGCTGAGCAGGTCTCAATGTTCTTGACTGCTGGTTAGTAGTCCTTTTACCTCGTCGAGTTTGATCTAATATATCATAGATAATACCGTCATTTCCTTCTTCGAAAATTCCGCAGATGACATAGAAGAACCCATCCTTCACAGATTAAGTAATTCAGATACAATACTTCGCAAATCATGTGATGCATCAATGGTAATGCAGGCCGTTATCGATGCTGTCATTGATCTTGCTATACCTGTTACCTCCGCCTATCAGGACATCATTGGTTCATTAGAGCTAGATGTCTTGACAAATCCAAATATTAAACATACAACATCATTATACGTCGTAACTAGCGAAATAACTACATTACGGAACTTCATCAATCCAATTGCTAACCTCATCAATTCTCTTCGAGATCATAAAAATGTTGGACAGAGAGGTGATGTACAAAAGGCAGCATCTGCCGTTAAGATTAGTCAAATGGCACAAACATATCTTGGAGATGTTGAAGATCATATCGTATTGATCACAGAATCTTTGGATCAACTTCGACGAAATGCCGATGGGATGATTGATTTAATCTTCAACACCATCTCGGCATATCAAAATGAGTCTATGAAGCAACTAACAATTGTCACTATCATCTTCCTGCCGTTGAGTTTCTTGACAGGTTATTTTGGAATGAATTTCAGCGATATGCCGAGTATAGAACATAACGAGAAATATTTTTGGCAAATAGCTTTACCTGTTGCTTTTGTTGTTATTTTATTCTTAATGAGGGATATGATCGTGTGGTGGGTCAAGAGAACAATACAGAGGAGGGGGATTTCGAGAAGTAGAAAAGGAAGGGAGAGAAGAGAGAGTAGGCAGAGAGGAATGAAGGAAAAGAGGAATAGATGAATGGAAATAATATTTAATGTTTCATGATCGAGTGGTTCACCCGGGTTGGTTTGCCAGTAGTTCGGAGTGGGGACAGACGAGGAATCTTACCTGAAGGCTGCATATAGGAGATCGAACATATTTGAGATATGGAAATGACATGGTACAATTTGGAGCACAATATTATGCTATAGATGTATTCAAAATCATGGTGTAGCAATGTTATCAATGGCAATGTTGCATTGGAAAATATTGTTTGTGGAAGTATAAAATTAAGAGTCTCCAACAACCTCCACCTCCTATCTCGCCGAAGCCCTTGTCGTCGTTTTTCATCAGAACATCGCGAGAAAAGTCCATTCATCGCTTCTTTAAATAATTATGATCACATTGTATTTCCACCCCTAGCCGTTAATTCACATCCATCCCTCCACATTTAACAAGCAGGCACTGGGCATATCAAATCATAATGAACAAATTCACTCGTATCATCCTCATACAATTGCGTCTTATCCACCCTCTCGTCAAACCATAAGCATTCCGTATACCGTGCATGAAAAGCAATACTTTTGCATTCTGGATATGCAGATCGACACTCGTTGATACAACTTGCGAGTGTAGCGTTGGGATATTGGTGAATGGTTTCGTTGTAATCGCCAGGGATTTGAGTAAATCCGGGGATTGCACAGATGGGAAAGCCGACAACGTAGGCTGAGTGTTTGTTAGTTGATTGCGTGAGTGAGAGAGGAAGAGGGAAAATTTACTTTCTCCTGGTGGGGGTGGAGTAGAAAGGGCACCGGCTTGAGTTGGTGAGGAGGCCACAAGGTTTGTGAGAGTAAGGGAGGTGAGGGCGTAGAGAAAGTTTTTGATATGCATTTTGGATTGGGATTTTGTAATATAAAATACTTTCAGTTGTGATGTGATTTTTCTTTCAACAAGAGATAAGGTTATAATCTGCACCAAAGATGGGAAAGTTTCCCGCATATATACATTGTGGTGAGTTCACCATTTTCCAAGAGACATAACATCCTCAGCCGACTGCAGTGGCACTTTACATTATCTCTCCGTCATAAACATAAAAAATGTACCAGTTTTTCTAAACCTTTACCTGAAAAAGCAGAGTTTCTCGTGTTTCTTGTAGCAACGGATCTTCATTCGTTCATGGGATCATACGATGCACATTCTAAAAGTCGATACGAGTCAGATCTGCATATATTGTGTAATTCTGATATCGTACAAAGCCGTTTTCTCGTATCTTGTGTTTGATGTTGTGCTGTTCGAGCCATTGATGTAATTTATGGTGCTGGTATGTGAGGTTCTCCTTACATTACCCCGCTGTAGATCTTTTTCAATGACGTTGTAAAATTGACATGATGTCTTAGTTCATTTTCAACCTGATTGGGTGCGAACGCCATAAATCTAGTTCTAGAATTTTTTGGAACTATCATCATTTTATTCCAATTCACAATTGGTCACAGTTATGAATATGTTTGTACTACTTTCTTGGATACAAAAATTTAATTACCTGAGTGCACTTGCACTTACCTGATGAGAAATTCGAAATGTCTAGCATCACGTTTTCACTTACCTTTCGAAGTCCTCCCCCTTTGAGCGCTAAATGTCAGCATTTATTGCACATGGTAAGGGAACCCCTCAAGATCACCACCAGCACTACCAGACTTCAAACCAACATTCTTAACACTTTCTCTTCTCTCCGACATAACTACTGGTTCCATTCTTCTCAAAGGCCAATCAGAAGGTCTTCTTGTCAAAGCCGGTTCTGGGCATCTCAAAGGCCAATCATTCATCTCGATATCGTATTCATGTCTTGGTTGTTGATGTTGTTCCTGTTCCTGTTGTGCAGGGAATGGCCAGTTCATTGATCTACGATTGTTTTGAGCTGCGATGCGTCGACGCTCAAACCTGATGCCCATGTAGCTGGGAACGAAGATCATGAAGACAATAACAAATATGATGATGATCAGAGAAGCGGCAACGGTGGTAATAGCGTTCATTCCGGACATCTTTATAGAGGTTTGAGAGTTGTAGTTGGGAGTGGGATCTAAAAAGGTAGCTTGTGGTTAGTTGGTGAGTTAGTTGTTGAGGAGTTAATTGAATGGAGTTTGGATGGAGTGAAATGAGAATATTTGAGGTCATTGAAAGCCAATTTCATGCATACAATTAGCATTGTTGCAAAGTAGTTGTGAAAGAGTGGTAAAGATAAGATGGCTTTTTTGTGTTGAATCGAAAGCGGGAACAAAGGGGCTTGATAAGCGAGGGGATTGTTTTCTGGATGAAAGAATTCTCGTAGGTGTCAGCTTAGCATTTGATTCATTTTAGAACTGTTTCCTCTCATTTGGTGTGTCACGAATCATATGGATGTATGCACATAATGTCCGAAACCCTACGATCGGTGCGGTTGAGGTGAGTCCTGTCAGTAACTGTGTCGCAGAAATTATGTGCGATTGTTGAATCGATTTGACCCACATGATAGAAATCATAGAACTTCCATATTGAAGAAACCTGTGTCAAGATTTATGAGCAAAATTTCTGACGGGGTAACTACCCGGGGATAGAAAAAAGCAAGATTGGTTACGAGGCATAACTTTTTGTGCACAAAAAAAAGAGTGGAAGAGCGATGAAGCTAGAGTCAGGCTGGATTCTCCAAATTAGGAGAAAAGAAGCTATTTGCTAACCCTAGCTTGACTGACATTTGATACTGAGACACATTTGGTAGTATTGTTGAGTAGCAAAGCAGAAATCTGAAGACTAGATTGCTTGAATTCCAGACACTGACGAGGAGATACTGGAAGCTTGTTGAAGGACAGGCCAATTTCGAAAGCTTTGAACGATTTGCATGAAAGAAAAGCACTATCTTGAATTTACCCCGATTCCTTTACTCTCCGTATAGCCTATTCATGAATTTCAGTGGAGGAAAAAAGTTGACATGGTAGTTTTTGCGCAACCTTTATTGTTTTTTCCATTCATCAAACTCCAACTCCAAATGTTGCTTCAACCTAGCAAATTTGTTTCCAAATTGCATACCACATCTCCAACATTTCAAATTATCTTCTAGCCATGCTTTACCTTGTCCTTTCCTATCGAGAGCTTCTTGTCTCTCCTCAGACAAAGGAAACTCTGATAAATGGACGAAGAATGGTGTAGCAAATGAATTATAATGTTTCCGCTTCTTCAGACATGAAGAATAACGATCAACGGAAAGAACATGAATATGAAGATGATCCATAGATGGATGCATATGTATCCCAATCATAATATCTTTTTCCCAATTCCTACCTTCTGGCATCTCAGCATCATCATCTAGATTGACTTCTCCGTTAAGTATTTTTTGCCTTTGCAAATCTTCTGCAGATTCCGGTCCATATTTTCGACGTAACTCTGATGCAACTATTCCCTTCAACTTTTCTGCTTCCGGTCTCACCATTTCGAGGAACTCAGGGTTGGACAGTGCTATTCTCGGGTGCATACTATTCCATTTCTCCTCTCGTGGAATTAGGAGGGCATGAACCGAAGATTTAGGGTAAAGGTCATGAATCGCTACAAATGAAGAGTTGTGATAGATCATGAGTGATGCAGGATGTGATGAGGGGTCTGATAAGTAAGCTCCGAGGCCCGCTCGACCAAAGTGGAAAGGATTCGAATTCGCAATCTTTTTAGGAGGAGGGGAGGATGTCGGGGAGGAATTAGGGCGTTTGGATCGCGAACTCGACATTAATTCGGTAACTATGAAATTCTTGTTAGTGTTATACATAGCGGGAGTGAAAGAACGAATGGTGTCACGGTACATGCGTTTGGTTTAGAAGAATTTTTATTAGATGAGGATGACGCTTGAGGTGTCCCATTAGTATCCTCTTCGATTTTTGAAGTCATAATTACGATTGAGTAGAGGTTAACCAGGTAGGAGAGGTTCCATGTACTCTGTTTATTGGTAAGACCCCAGATATTAACCTTAAATATGCCTTCGTCAATGCCCAGATTGTTAAAGAGAGGGTGGTAGAATAGTATCTACGCAACGGCAATCTAATTATTAATGTCCACTCGGTGATGACTACTAATTGGAGTCGGGTTCCGTACCCAGTCAAGTCGTTAACAAGGCTGAGCTTCAGAAGTTCCACCAGAATGACGCACATACATTTCAAATGCAAAAAGAGTCCGAGCTTTACAATTATCTCAGCCTTGTGGGGAAAACTTTATTTCCAACCAACATCCAAATTTAATGAACCACTAAAAGATCTCAACGCCTTCATTACTACTAATTTTGATTTCATGGATCTGCCTGTCATCAAGACTGCAGAGACCAAATATGGTCAAGAAAGGACAATCATCAAAAGGTGGGCCAAAACCAGGTACATCTGCCGGTAAAAATAAAGCGTCAACAACACCCGCTGCAGACGATAGCTTTATAGTATTCTCGAATTCGGATAAAGAGCCAAAGCAAAGAAAGCCGCCAACTCAAGGACAAGATGGGCCCGATCCATTGGGTGAGGCGCCAAAGAGACCGGATGTTAAGAAATTGATTGGTGGACAATCATGGACTGGAAAGTTGCCCGTCAATTTACTTTCGGAACATTGTCAAAAGCAAAGATGGGAGAAACCAGAATATACTATGGTAAGTGTTTTAGTGCTGTGGAGATTCCAGAGATATCTACAATTAACGATGGCGCATACTGATGCTACAAACAACAGATCAAAACTCCGGAAGGGTTCTCCTCAATGGTAATCCTGAAAGCTAAGAATACGAAAACTCAAGAACTTGTGTCGCTAGCCCCCTTTAAATTACCACCTTCGCATAAGCACCTTGCAGTCAAACCTACAGCTCTTGAGGCTAGACATTTCGCTGCCACATATGGTCTCTTTCGGGTTCTCAATATGCGAAACATTCATATGACACTTCCACCTGATTATCGAGATTTATGGAAGGGTGAGTTTGAAGTTTTGAAGAAAGAGGATATCAAGGAAGGAAAAGCATGGATGTATGAGGCAGATCCATTTGCTGCGTTGAGGGAAAGAGAAGATGCAAAAGCTGCAATGGAAAAAAAGCGGAACGAACAACAAAAAGCTAGGGAAAAGGCTATGAATACACCAGGATCAGCAGGTCCAGGAGGTGCAGGATTGGCATTACGTGGTAATGGAAGCAATGGTACAAATTCAACTGGAGGGGGATCATCACATAACAATATTCACAGAGGGTGGACCAAGGTACCTAAAATCGAGATGGGTAAACGTACGCGAACGAAAGTCGAAAGTTTAGTAAGAAAACATGCTATTTGGAACCCACACGATGTTATGTTATCCGACTTCCAGAAGCATTCAATTGTGAAAGAATTCAAGACTCTTGACTTCAGGCAGAGTCATATCGAGGAAGCTGTGGATATATGCAAAGATAGAGAGGAGACACTCGAATGGCTACTGATCCATGTTCCAGAGGATGATCTACCAAGATGGGCATTGCCGGAAGGATATGTTGCTGGCATTAGTATGGCAAGTAGTGACTTGAAGCGTGAAGGTGCTATCAAGAGATTGGCCGAAGCTGGGTATTCAATCGAGCTTTGCAAGCAAATCTACGATATTCATAACGATGAAGGAAAAGCTTCTGAGGCTTTACAACACATACTCTTGTCGAGTGGAAAAGATGTCGAACCCGTTCCAAGCGAGGAATCCTGGGATACTGAAGATGCCAAAGAATCTTCAGAAGAAATTTGGGAAGAGGAAATGACTGGCCTTCAATCGGTCTTTGGGGAAAAATTTTCACGTCCATCGAAAGATGTTTGCAGAATTAAAATTAAACCAGCAAATCGCAGAACAAATCTTCCTGTCGAACCTATCATCCAATTTCGTCGATCTTCCGAGTATCCACAAAAAGTTCCGGTCATATCTGTTCACGTTCAATTGCCAGCATATATTCGTTTGAGCATTATGAAGCAGGCGTTGAATTATGCCATGGATAGTTTACTGGGTGAACACATGTTATTTTTCCTTATAGACTGGGTGGAACAAAATCTTTATAGTATCATTGAAAGACCCGGAAAGCTTAGCGATGTTTCAGCTGCTGCATCGATAGTCAGCGAAATTCAGCCAGTTCGTCGGAGAAGACAGAATATCTCAAGACACCCTAGAGCGATTAAATGGATTGCCAACATTAAAAGCAAGGATGAATGGAAAAGTCGACAACTAAATCCGAAGTTGGAATCTATGATCAAAGGTCGAAGAACTCTACCCGCGTGGGAAATGAAGGATATTATCGTGGATACCGTGAATTCTCACCAAGTTACCATTATCTCGGGTGAAACTGGTTCTGGTAAATCAACTCAATCGGCTCAATTTATCCTGGATGACATGTATCAACGAGCATTTGGAGATTGTGCGAAGATTATTTGTACGCAACCTAGACGTATTTCTGCCTTGGGACTGGCGGACCGTGTTAGTGATGAGCGATGTTCTGCCGTTGGTCAAGAGGTTGGATACATTATTCGGGGAGAGTCAAAGGCATCACCGAATACCAAGATTACCTTTGTGACTACAGGTGTACTTTTAAGGCGATTGCAAACATCTGGAGGAAGTAGTGATGATGTAGTGGCATCTCTTGCAGATGTTAGTCATGTTATCATCGATGAAGTTCATGAGAGATCTTTGGATACAGATTTCTTGCTTGTTTTGTTACGGGATGTTCTTCGCCAACGAAAAGATTTGAAATTAATCTTGATGAGTGCCACTTTGGATGCTGGCATTTTCGAAGATTATTTCAAGAGTGGTGGAAAAGTTGGTAGAGTCGAGATTAGTGGTCGCACATATCCAGTGGAAGACTACTATCTTGACGACGTTATTCGAATGACCAATTTTAATCCAGGCTTTGGTAGTAAGTACCAGGAAGACAATCAAGAAACATCTGGTATGGATCAGGACGTTGCAGCTGCCATTCAAAGTATTGGTATGAGAATCAATTATGATTTGATCAGTCAAACTGTCAAAGAGATTGATGCTGAATTGACTCATCTGAAACAAGATGGTGGAATTCTCATCTTCATGCCAGGTCTGGTTGAAATCACTCGAACACTGGATTACTTGAAGACCATACCGAATTTACATGCACTACCATTACACGCATCTCTGCAATCATCAGATCAAAGAAAGGTATTCCCACATGCTCCGTATGGCAAACGTAAAGTTATCGTTGCCACGAATGTTGCCGAAACCTCAATTACAATTGATGATATCGTCGCAGTCATAGATACTGGTCGTGTTAAGGAGACTAGTTATGATCCTCAAAATAACATGCGTAAATTGGAAGAAGTATGGGCTTCACGTGCTGCATGTAAACAAAGAAGAGGTAGAGCAGGTCGTGTTCAAGCAGGAAAATGTTACAAGTTATACACACGAAATGCCGAGACATCGAAAATGATGGAGAGACCTGAACCTGAGATTAGACGAGTACCATTGGAACAATTATGTTTATCTGTACGAGCTATGGGAATCAAGGAAGTTGGATCATTTTTAGCAAGTGCCATTACTCCTCCTGAGAGTATAGCTGTTGACGGTGCTATGGATTTATTGGGAAGAATGGGTGCCCTTGATGGTGATGATCTTACTGCTTTAGGTCGGCATCTTTCAATGATCCCTGCTGACCTTCGTTGCGGTAAACTAATGGTTTACGGAGCTATGTTTGGTTGTTTGGATGCCGCTGTCACAATCGCAGCTATCTTGACCGTCAAATCACCTTTTGTATCACCGCAGGATAAAAGAGAAGAGTCAAAATCTGCAAGGGCAAAGTTCGCTAAAAATCAGGGTGATTTGATTGGTGACCTCCGAGCTTTTGAAGAATGGTTTGAGATGATTAACAATAGAAAGTATGTTGTTCTACTCCCGATATTAAAATATGACGCTAATTTTCAATAGTTATCGACAAGGAGAAATTCGAAATTGGTGCAACGATAATTTCCTCTCATATCAAACACTCAATGATATATCCTCAAATCGAACTCAATACCTTACGTCACTACGTGAAATAGGTTTCATTCCATCATCATCGATTCTTCCTCCAGCTTTATCAGCAAAATCATCAAACAATGCTCTCATTCGATCCCTTTGCGCAGGAGCTTTTAATCCTCAACTTGCACGTATCGATTTCCCAGATAAGAAATTTGCGGCCTCTGTCTCCGGTGCTGTGGAATTAGATCCGGAAGCAAAGACGATCAAATACTTCAATCAAGAAAACGGACGTGTTTTTGTTCATCCAAGTAGTACAATCTTTGATGCACAAACCTTCCCTGGTAACAGCAAATATATGAGTTATTTCAATAAAATGGCGACGAGTAAAGTATTTATTAGAGATCTTACACCTTTTAACGCATATACGGCACTTTTATTCTCTGGACCAATTACATTAGATACATTGGGTAGAGGTCTTTTGGTAGATGGTTGGTTACGACTGAGGGGCTGGGCACGTATCGGTGTTTTAGTTAGTAGATTGAGAGGAATGTTGGATGATGTTTTAGCAAAGAAGATTGATGAACCTGGAATGGATTTGTCCGGGAATGAGGTAGTGGAAGTTGTATTGAGGCTGGTGGAGTTGGATGGAATGGATCAGTAATTGATAAGAAAGTTTTATCGCCGCATGGTTTTCGAGTACTATTAGATTGAGGGGAATTCGAGAAATATACACTGGATTGGCAGTTAGAGAAGCAGATCGGACTGCAAAGATTCAAAATCATTGAGATCTAAGATCTTACAATCATCACTCGGAATTTTTATCAAGAAACAGTCTTCCAATATCACCGCGCCTTCAATTGTTCGATGTCAACAAGACTGGTAATTCCTTGCAGGGGATAGGGTCGACGAGGACCTATGCAGTCACGATATCAAGTATCCATAAAAGCATCCATGAAAGATCTAAAGTAAAATCATCAACCCCCAGGGCCTAGGTCCACTGGTCTAGTCATTGCATGAGGTATCAATGTCGCCACTAGTGACCATGTGATTTATGGTGCTGAAAAAGGGAGAGCCAAAAATCAGGAAGAAAAGTATTTTACACATTGTCTAGATGATATTATAGTACGATAATCAGCTTATCAAGCCTTCAACTCAGAGCAGGGAGCGGGGAGTGAGGAGCTGGTGGAGATATTCAATCAGCCTCGGTTGGCGAAATGTAAAGTAATCAACTATATCACGTGACATAGCAATCCCCTACTTCATTCCGTGAAACCCATGGTTGACGCCCATTTTCTAGGGACTCTTGAGATTGGTGTAAGATCTTTTGATGAAAGCTATATACACGAGCTAGTTTCCAATATGAGTGAAGATCATTCAGAAATCGGCGACCCTTTCTCAAATTGCACCACCAAACACAATCAGTAATCATTTGAATAGTAATCATGAGTACTAGTATTTGACTTGCTAGTATGCTCTGAAACTTAAAAGCTACCTAGGTTATGATCACTCACCTTCCGAACTTTGGTTGCTGAACATTTGGAACTCTCGCCATCTAGAAATTTTTTGTCTCATTCCTGATTCCATAATGGCTCATAAAAGTTCAACAACTTCGTTTACCTATTCTGTAACTCGAAAAACTTCACATACCTCTCTAACATTCGAAACTGTTATGTCCAATCTCTATGCTTCAATTGGAAAATCTACAGATTTGAAATTGTCAGCAATTGCCGGAAATACCACATCATATGACGAAAAAAACAAAGAGAAATTCATCGAAGGAGTTGAGGCGGCCGTTGGACCTCAAGGATTCATGAATTTTGGTGTACGTTTACCAAAACCATTTCTATTTGCTGCTACCAGCTTGTGCCGGCGAGTCAAACTCTGAAAGCATACCTGTGAAGAGTAAACGAGAGTTGACTGACAATTAAAAGGAAATCAATCATGGTTCCTGGCTCCCACTCTTCAATATCCAATCCAATCCACAGCTTGGTCTAAAACGTATCATACTTGGAAATCCACTAATAGCTATTACGATGCTCTCTCAATCTAGTAAATCTCTCAACGCAGGATTGTTTGTACCTGTGGAGATTCTAGTCCGTCAGTTATCAGGTGAAGAAGGAACGGAAATCACGTGGCAAGTACCTAGTACTTTGATTGCTGCTACAGACAGAGGGAATGATGGATTATTGACTGCAGCGCAAGTTTTAGATGGGAAACTGGAAGAGTTGATTGTATTCATTGGTAGCGGCGTATAAGATTGAGGATGGAATGATTAGTGTGACTGATGGAGATAGGGTAAAATAGTAAATAAAATAAATGTTATGATCAAATTACTAATGGTCACAAATTTCAACACCAAACGACTACCTCATTTACCTACAACAGGGAAAAAATATATACATGAGAATGTTGGCTTGCTAAACAATAAGGAGTTGGCCGCTACACCAAAGAGATCTTTCTGGGTTATATGCGCACAACCCAACCAAAAAGTCACAATCAGAGGCACATGAAACTTCATCTTCATTTCCATTCGTTACGCTTGATAACATAACCTTGACCATCCTCAAACCTGGGATAGGGTCCAAAAGGTCAAATCTAGATATACATACACCAATCCCAGCTATGCAAACAAGTCCAGTATGAAGTGCAGGTGTCCTACACGATATTATAATGTAGGAGAATACATGCGACCAAAGCCTTCTATCGGCTGGACGGAAAGAGTAGAGTTTGTGTAATTTGTTGGAGGGGTCGACCAACATGAGGTATTATATTTATAGCAATGTAAAGTAGAGAGTTTATGCGACGGCTGGGAACCCGGTTTGACCGGATTCAGATGGTGGGGGAGGTGGAGGTAGCTATTAAATGTTAATATAGGAATGGGCGGAAATGGGCAAAGAAAATGTGTACCTCTAATTTCGTATTTCCTGCCATCATTCTTTGGAACCCAATTCCAACACCTTCAATAACACCCAAGAGAACCGCACATCCTATCGCTGAGTTTCTTGCAGCTTTTGCACCACCACGAATTGCCAAAGCACCACCAGTGAAGAATCCAGCAATAACTATTTCGGTGTCAGTATTTCGTTCGAATCGCCGCAATCAACCCACTCAACAATCTGCCAGCAAAGGTTTCAAGCTAAAATTTTCGAAAGAACATACTAGCATTATAAGGATCCTCCTTTTTCCTCAATCCTTTAACGGCGCAATCGAAAGTCGAGAAGAGCCCACCCCAAACACCAAAGTTTCCTCCTAGTACAGGAGCTCGTGCCTTTATGGCTGTGAGTGCGCCAATCCTTCTTTCACCATAAGGTGAGTTTCGAAAGCCTTTAACACCGTGCCATACTGCACCTCCGATTGCCTGAAAAGAACTTAATCAGTATTTCTTTCTTATGATCTCTATGCTTGAGAATTTTGCGGAAATCGAGGAATTTCTCAGGAGGGAAGAAGAAATAGTGCAATTACGTACGCCCATACAAAAAGCTCCTCCAAAATCGTTCAAGGCTACCCAAGGACATGGGTCTCGTGTGTGATCCATTTTGTATATTTTTTAAATGAGAGGACTTGTTACTTTCTTCTTCTCGCTCAATGTCCCGCCTAGAAAAACTGTGAAGTCTTGAGATTGTGGCAGATGAACTTTGGGTTCGAAGTATGAATACCGATAGATTGTGATGATTGCGACTGGATGGAGTTATAAATGGTCGTTACTGGTTGATTAATATCCAACCTTTTTTTTCTTCAATCGATGGCGATATGATGATGGATTGATAAAATTCCTAGCGTTGAAAATGGAATTGGTCGGTGCCCGGTAGAATGATATTCCGTAACCCGTGATCTTACATTCTCTAACATTCTTATAAGCACTACAACCTCTCATCTACAAATATCAGCTTGGCTTTTATATTCAATTCATCAATTAATAAAATAACGGGTGGCAAAGGTGGTTTTATTTGAGTATAGAATTTGGTTTAATTCCAGTTCTTACTCACTTTCAGGTCTTCGTGCTTCCACCTTCACTTCTACCAAGTTAACCCTCATATAGATTCATTTTAGCAACTTCTCTCTTTAATCGAAAATGGTATCGGTAATAATTTTCGCAAGCAGAAGAATATTTCTTAATAATATCAGTAATTTTGTCATGGGATTCTTTCATTTGAAAGCCTCCAAGTGTTGGCTGCTAAAAAAAGCTCTTGGGAGATATGAACGTACCAATGTATTTCAAGTCTCCAATAGGTCCTCAGAGCAGGGACTTTTTACATTCTTAGTATTTTAATCAAACAGGGAATTGCAGTGCAATACTAAGAAAAGATACAATCATTTTGTTTGATTGAACATGGGAACTTTCAGCGGTTTCCTATACATCCTCTGATGCAGAAGAATCCTATTTTGGGGTTATGAAGGTAGTGTTTTTGGGCACAAAGTAGTGAAGCTACTAAGGATTGCTTGTTTTTGGTAGAAATGCACAATCTTCAAGAAAAAAGAAACAATCCTTCAACGAAGTCATGAAGATATAAGTATTATCTCCTTTCACTTAAGCTCGCGGCTTTATACGTATCCTGGAGTAAGAGGACTCCAGCATGTACACTTCAGCCATTCCTCGATTATAAACACGGTTGCTATGCTAATTTATGTAGTTTGACATCTGATCAAAGTCGTTTGGCTGTCCTAACTTCAAGACACTTCGCTTAACAAACCCCTACCACGGCTAACCGAGATCTTACTTACTGTTATTGCCTAGAATTTCATGTCCGATTTGGGTGAATTGAGATACAACCAAGATTATTACCCGCCTCTTGTGGACCCGGTCAAGATTCAGTCCGAATTTTGGCAAATGCGACAACTCTATGGTGTTGTTATAAGTGTGATTACAACTCAGTTTGTGACAAGCAACCGGATCATCATTTATGGACTGTTCTCCCATCACAGCGGTCTTAAACGAAGTTGCGCCTGGTCAAATTTAATTAACCAAGAAGTATCATTTCATCATCATCATAACTTTGATAGTCACGAGCACATTAAAACCACTTAATTTCCATGGGATGTCTCGAATTTGGTCCTGGTCCAGGAATCCATGGAAGGCATGAATAGCTACTTTTGCGACCTTGGTGATCTTTGCTGAACTTCACCACTAGAATCTCCCATCCATTTCTTATTGCGGAATTATTGTGCGGTTCACGTTCTCATCGGCTATTGATCGGGTACTTCTGGTACCACCAAGAGCAAATGAAGGTACTGAGTTTGTAGTACATTGGTTTTGCTAGGTGGATGACGATAGAATGAATGCGGCGATTTACAATGTTCTAGGTCAACTTCTAGATGTTATCGGACCTGAGGCATCATTACAGTTTGGATTGGATTTCCAATGTCTATGTGGTCTTTGTAAATCAGATTTGAACAATATGATTGATAATTATAGAAATCGCAGTTCGACTTTTGCCGTATCCTCATGAGTATGTAGTGATACGCCGTGAAGGCTTTTCATCTCAATGCCTGATCAACTTTCTCAATTGTAGACATAGATGTCGAAAATCAGCTGATTCAATTTTATTCAAGATTGATAGTCAGCATCAAGCTATACATGAATGATGGTTTTCTCAATTCCATATCAAATGTAAATATCGTGTTGTCGATTTGTGGTGTATCTGGCTGAGAATTCAGTGTTTTCTACCTTTGCAGATTCTGGGGGATACTATGTTGCTATCTAGATCGGTCATTAGGCTTCTATAGTGTTAGAGGAATAGACTCCCCCGAGTCTCGAATTCGCTTCGTGCCATGTCTTCGGTTCTGCCTAGGATGACCACCGAGTCACCTACTTGATATGATGATCCAAGTTGCGACTGCTTAGTATTCCATTAACATTGTCTTGACTAAAACATTATCCATGGAAAGATTGTAACCGACTAAAACCATTAATGTGTAGAATGCTCCCTCGCGTTTCTTGATCTACCCTTTTATGAGCCGAAAAGCCTACCTAGTAAGTAATGAAAATGATGGGAAGACTTTCCCTAAAAAGACTCAAGCTTTTTTGAATCAGTTAAATTCAAAACTTGCTTCGATTCGATATAGGATCTGAAACTAGGTATATGCAGTAAATATCTAATGATTTTTTCGTTGTATTGACCATCCACAAATTGTCGTCATCAATGTCATCATGGAGTAGTATTACATAATCCTCACTCCGATATTTAGCCGGCCCTCCCACCTTCTCATGAAAACTCACCTAATTACCTGCTGTACTATTCATCACCAATAATTCTCCAAAAATAGATATACAAACGATAATTGACTTCGAAATATACAGTGCGATACACTACTTGAATATCTATTTCCTCGTTTGCAAATACTTTACAAAGAACTCAACAAGTCTACCTTCTTCCACTTACCCCACCAGTTCATACTCAACATGGATGAATTCGCGCAGTCAAGAGGAGATGATGATCTTTTCGCCGACGAATTCGAACCTGCATCTGAGCCTACAGTCATAGAAGAGGCACCAATTCAATCGGTTTCCAAGCTTTCACCAACCGCAGAAACATATGTACATAGCAATGGCGCACAATCCTTACCTAGTGGACCTTCGAATAACAATCATCATAACAACAACAAAAACCAACGGGAACGAGGCGCGGATAGAAGACGAGGCGGGAGAGGTCGAGGCGGTGCGCCGAATAATGGTTTGAAATCATCGAGATATGCGACTCAAGAACCAGAGCAAATCGCCATTCAACCACAATCTGCCGAACCCACAACAGAACAACTCCCAGTTGCTGCTCCTTCAAACTCCCCTCCTCTACAATCTCCTACTGAAGCGCAACCACAAACTCAACAAAAGCCCATACCTTCCGTTCGTGGCGATCGTTCTTTGACCGGTGGTCCATCGCACAAGAAATTGACCGAAGAAGAATTGACAGCGAAGCTCGAGCGAATGAAGATAATAAATGCAGAAAAGGCAGAATCTTTCCGAAAGAGTGAGAAAGATAGGGAAGGCTATGCTGCAAAGGAGAAAGAAGAGAAGCGCAAGAGAAAAGAGGAAATTGAGAGGGGTAAAGTAATGGAAGGCGAAAGAATGAAGAATAGAGAGAGAAAGTTGAAGGCTATGGGTGGTAGGGAATGGGACGAGGGCAAGGATGAAAAAGAGTTCGAGGATAATAAGGGAAGGAGTTCACAATATGTTAGGGGTGGTCATGGTGGAGTTATTGGAGGGAGAGGTGGTTTGGCTAGTAGTAGGTTTAACGATACCCCAGAAGATGATATGTCTTCGTACATTTATGACGAGAATAGAGGACGGGGAAATGGACGTGGAAGAGGAAGAGGTAGGGGCAATGGTAGAGGTGGAAGAGGTGGTTCAGCACAGCAAATTCAAACTGTACCCGCGCTAGAGGATTTCCCATCATTACCAACAACCTCAGCATCCAAAAATACGACATCGGGTGTCAATTCTCCATTGGTCGGAGCTGGCGATTGGGCTGATGAGATGGCTACGCCTATCGAACAAGAGAAAAAACTCGAAGTTTAGATCAAAGCGTAATTTGTGTTGATGGAGATCATATTGTGGTCAAGGGCGGTTAAATTTGGATTTAAAAGAAAATCGAAGTCAGGCGTTACACATTGGCTCGTCTTGGGAAAGACTTTGAGCCGCGAATTTTGGTCATCGTCTTGGATACCACAACAGCAAGCGAATTGAATTTTTACCAATTTTGAAACGGAACTACAGACTTGATTGCTTTGATGCTATGCTGATGAACAAACTGGTCGTCATTTCAAATGAAGTAATCTAAACAGATGAAAGAGGTGCTGGTATAAAAGTAGGTGCATTAGTTCGTAAATGGCATTCACACTTTCAATATCCTAATTCCTTTGATCTATAACTCTATTGTAGTCAAATTGAGAAGTCTCATTTTCTAGTGGCTGTGTGTACGGATTATCTCCAACTATTGTTGAAAAAACCACGAGGGCTAGCCCGCTTCTCCAGTAGGGATCCAATGCTGCTCGAGCCTGCTATCTGTTACTTGCGGTTTTTATATTTGAGGATCCCTGCCTCTTCCGAAATTTCTATCAAAAGTGAAACAAAAAACAAAAAATAAAGTCGTCTAGATCCAGGGATGCTTCTGACACGGCTGTCATGTCTTCGAAGAGATCATTGTCCATCAAATCATCTAGACCATCAGCTTCACATCCTTCATCTTCAGTATGATTATTCGATTGGTGCACGTTATTTTCTTGGTCTTTTTGATCATATGTTTGTTAACGCAACACCACCAGTCCACAGCTCTTCTAATTGACGAGTTTCTACACTCGAGCCATCGGTGAGGAAACATTCGGATTCTCCAGTCTGAGCCATTGCCTGCCTGAGCCCTCTCCGAAGCCTCATTCTTTCCCGAATGGCATCGAAAAATTCTTGAGTTGCCTCGCTAAAGTCCTCGAAATCACTCTCATCATCTTCTACCTGTTCCTGAACCTATACTTCGTACTCATCTATTGATGAAGCACTGCCATAGATGAAAAACTATTAACCTCCTTCCACTGGTTCATATGTCTGCCCATTGCTCCCTTCCAAACATCCTCATCAATGACAAAGTTTCACCAACCTTACCTAAGCCACGTATTTGATTCTATTACTGATATGTGAGGCGTCGTTTCCCAGTTCATTCGGTACCGGACCATCTTGCGCATCACCCTTGTGTACGTTGGAAGATCCGACAGAGTTTTTGGCATATGTGGACTATTTTACGTCACTCCATTCCCAGCTTGCCACAAAATTACATACAAAGTTACACCAGCTCACAACTCTCATAACCCTACTCAAAAGAGTTATGACCGAGACGCAAATGTCTGGTCGGTGTGAGATATGGCTACACAGATGGACAAAGGAGCCTAAAGCAAAATATGTCGATACGAACTATGGATGGCTGGTTAAAAAATAAGGGGACTTAGCACTGCATAATATAATTGCCAATTCATATGCTTGAGACCATCAATTGAAGCCAACTATCTAGTTACGTATTGCAATTGCAGGAGATACAGATGGATCACGTTATTATCAGGAAATTCCCCCTGCAACTTGTGCTATAAGGCTCGCTACATTCGAGAAATTGACCGGCAACTACGGATTCATATCTCGCATATCTGCTGAGTCTGCGCACGGTCTTGTGGGATTTGAGGCTTGGACTCTCAGTATTGATGAACAATTTCAACCGGTATACGCTTAATTTATCCTTTTCTGGTATACCACTGACCTCTACCCTCAGCTGGATCCTCTTATCCGACCAATTCTCCCTTCTATTGAATCACTCGATATTTCAGGTTACAATCATCCTTCATACAGGTTCCTCAGACACGAACTTCCCAGTGCGCATCATCTTTGTAGCCTCAGACTGAAATGACACCAATAAAGGATCTAACAGGGTGATGAGAGCAGTGTTTTAAGAAGTCAATGAGAACAAGAGAACTGGAATTTACATCGCTCGGAAGAAATATATCTCACAAACAGAAGAGACATAAGCTGAAGAGTCGGATTCACACAGACGTTTCAGTAGCAATTGTTGCATTACAAAGATGCGGATGGGGTCAAGAAAACAAGAATAGTTGACGAGAAAGCTACAAAAGAGACAAAGAAAATTGTCGGCTTGGAAAGATTAAGCAGATTGGGCTCATGTTGTGTTTGACTGCACATCAAAGATAAACGGTTGATCTCGCATATCCCATCAGCGAAAACATCAGTCAACCACATGATTGTGGCTTTCTCAGCCGAATATATTTATATGTATATGTATTGATTTATAGCAAGAAATGCATGCTCGATAATGACAAAAATATTCTCAAGAAAATGTATTCCTTTCATCTGTGATGGTACCTGAAATTGTTCCACAAACACAGCTCGAGGAGTATGTACGCCTACAATGCGTGGAGTATGTCATTGTTAAAAGCCTATACGCGTATTTAGTGAAAGTGGACCTGGGTGAGCACTTTGCAACGGTACATGTATGATTAACTGACCTATCCCGACGTATTCGAATGGTACTCCGTATACATATGAAAGAACAATGGGTCCTTATTGATGATCAGGGTGAGACGTCATTTTCACGGATGCACGCGGGGTTCAGGATGGTGCTTGAGCGTTTATCCACTAAAACATTCCCAGGTTCAGGGGCGCGAGAGGGGCTGAGAGGGCTCGGAGGGGTACAATAAGCGATTTTGGGGGATATCATAGATTCATCAATTCCTTTCCGCGTATTCATCTTCCCTACCGACATTTCCCCATGATTAAGTTGTTGTATGGACGGCATATGGAATGGGATGCCAAGGAAACCCATTTACCCTAATGAGATTGGCGCTTATATATACACAATAATTGAAGACTAATTAACATGCAGAACGCTGTGATCGCAGCAAAGCCAATTCGAAGCTAGAGGACTTTAAATCACAGAATGAGAAGATGGCAAAGTGTTATATTTCAGCCATCTTTCAAGCACCTCAAAATTCTTACAATGTCGATACAATGTAATGGCGATTCTACAAAAATAGATCATCATAAGTTTCGATAATTTTCGAGTGGTCAAATCTTTAGTTTGGACGAGTTTCTCATCAATTGTTTCTCACTCACAACCATCACCATGGATATGAACGAGCGACGATCGAGCATTTCTGGGCGCATTCGTAATACCTCCTTCTCATTAGCAGATGCAGCTTTAAATTTTAATCCTCAATTGGGGATGTGGGCAGCAACTGGCACCGCCATAGCCTACGCTCCAACGTTGGAAGAACTGCGAGAACCCATTTCCGGAGGCGCAAATATCGAATTCAATGAACATGGTCACTCTAAGCGTACCGTCACAACAGACTTAAATGGTGAACCAGTCCTTGCAAAAGCTTTGTCACGTACACAAACCCGACGATTGAGCAATGCCCAAGTTTTAAATCCTGTACCAGTGGTGGACCATGGGAATTCCAATACTGTACTCGGAAATGAACCTAAATTTGCGAAACCTTCATTAAAGACTCGAACAACAGTCATTGAAGAAGAGAGACATGGTTGGGGTCCTGCCATCAAACATGGTATTACTGCATTTTGGAAATTCGCAACGACGCCCACTGGTTTCTTGATGACGATATATGGATTGAATATCGTGGCATGGGGGGCTATGCTTTTCTTCTTACTGCTAGATGCCGCTCCAGCAATGGATCATCCGGATAAAGATTCCAATGATTCTCCTAGGAAGAAATGGTTGGAAATTGATTCACAGATTTTGAATGCTTTGTTTTGCGTTACTGGATTTGGCTTGGCGCCGTGGCGATTTAGAGATTTGTGGAATTTGTTGCAGGTGAGATTTGGGAAGAATAAGAAAGCAATGAAGAGGTTGGCAAAGCAAAATAAAAGTTGGTTTAGACCTGGAGCTTGGTATACAGATTCGCTCAGTAATGAAAATGAAGAGAATGGTGTTTCTATTCCAGCCACTTTCACTGGGGAAGTCGCACCTCCTACTAGCTTATGGAAACTTAGCTTTGTAGTTTGGATGATGGTTTTGAATACTTTGTTTCAAGGAGTGTTGGCTGGGTTCATGTGGGGATATAACAGAATCAATAGACCTTCGTGGGCGACTGGAACATTTATTGCCTGTGGGTGCGCTGTTAGCTTATTCGCAGGAATTATGATGTGGTGGGAGGGGAGGAGGGTCAAGAAGATCGAGGGCCCAGTAATCAAGGTCATAGAACCGGAAGAGAAAGAGACAGAGTTGAAGGATCACTCGAAAAAATAAAAGACCTTCGATCAATTCTTATATATCTATTTCTCCATGGCTCTCTAGCTCTATCAGTCATTGTTGTGGAAGTCTCCAAGCCACCAATGCTGTTCTCTTCTATGTAAGTCATGATAGTCATGAACCATTTAGAAACATTACCAGAAGTTCTATCGTCTATTGCGCTTTACCCAGATTAGTTCCTCCAATTCAACCTCCAATTATTCCAACCTCAAAATGTCTCTTTAATTGCCGTGTCGTCGCCTGGTACTTCACGTAATTCAAATTGATCCTAAAAGTTCGATACCCAAACTTCATCCTTTATGAATCTTCCCATGAGCAATGATCATAAAACTCTATTCATCAAGGCTCATCAAATTTCTCCAACTATGAGGCACAGCATCAAGATCCACATTGATATGTGGACGTTGCTTTTCTATCCTCCTCTGCAATCTTCCTTGCTTTCCAGCCTCATTTTCCTCCGGCCAATATCTCACCAAATCATATACATCCGCATTATGAAATTGTATTATATCCTTATCTTGCAATGTTTCGACATGGATATTCTCCTCGTTATTACTTTGCATATATGGGTATCCCACCAATTGCCATGCCATGTGCAAAAAGCCAATATCATATTCAACTTTGCGCTTTAGGCTTGAGAGTTCGAACCAGGGAAATTCCATCAGATATTTGCGGCGAAGTGAAATACGGGCTCGTTTATAAAGACCATTCGTGATCCATGACCCGTCAATGTAATCATTTGGATCCGCAGAAATGATTGGCTTATTGCTGGACTGATAAGCTGTTACATCCCAATCATCTGAACATGCTGCGAACGACAATCCATCAGGACAATAGAACTGTTGAATATGTTGATCAAGTAGCCATCCTCCATTTCTCCAACGGCATTGCTGAGCTAGTATTTGACAGTCCTTTTGTGCTTTCATGCGAACAGATTTCTGTGCGCCACCATTTAAAAGCCAAGGCCAGCTGTACATGTACCAGCCATATATTTCACTACAAACGTTTTTGAATTGCATATCGTGGAATGTAACATGGAGAGAGTTAGATCCGTATTCGAGAGGGTATATATCTCCACTTGCTAATATTCGAGGTAGCTCAATGGCCGGTCTTATGATGTATGGCGTTGTCTTCGTTTGCTTTGGAGAGGTAGCTACGGAGGGAGCGGTAACTCTGTTTGGAACATTAGGTGCGAATCGAGCTGTGAGAATGGTATAGCATATTCCACTTGTAGAATCTCTTAATTTTTGAATCCCGAAAGCATTGTGGACTTTTTCGATGACAGCCTTCCCAGAGCACCGACGGATCGGCATGACACTAGACACAGTTGGCAAATGAGAAGTATTGAATGGTTCCTGGTTAGGTGGAGGTAAAAGAATATAGTACCGAAGATTTTGCTTATCGTCAATTAGGATATGTAGATCAAGAGAGAATGGTCGAATTTCTGGGAGTGAGGGATGATGCCATGATGATGTTTGAAAAACTTTATATCTAGTCGCGCGAATTTCTGTCGATGAGTTGCATATGGTGATCTCAATATCTTGTGGTGCTGATGAAGAATAAATACCATGAAACAGTGGCATCTTCGAAGCGTTGTAATATTTTGAATTCCTTGTGCTGTAGTGTAGGCGCAAACAATTTCGAAGTAAATATATAGCGTGTCGAGAAATTTCTAATGGTCCAATTGAAATTTGATGCCTCAAGATCTTAGAGCACCTTCAATCTCCTCTCCTGAAGTTGCTTGAGGACTTCCAATCGGAAAAGTTCAAGGAGCTATTATAAGTGACCGGCGACCACGATGAGAGAAAGACTGATGAAATGAGGAGTCATTCTATGTAGTAAGTTTGAATCTAAGAAGATACAAATTTCCTTTTGATGGAGAATATCTTTGTGCCAACCTTGAATTTACCAAAGATCTTAGAAAGTCAAGAGCTCACCAGAATAATAGCTGATAAATCAGGTGAAGCCTGAACTTGTGCGAATGATCATAGGAATGATAACAATTATTCACAATTTCTTTTCTGTAGATTCAACCCTCTGACTCTCCGGATAGTGAATTCACAAATATGATTTGGGTGTAACATCAGATGTAATGACTCTTTAAAAGTACTGAGTTCGTCTCATAAATCTCAAATGATATATGAGATGCAAACCACAAAGTAACTGTGCTGGTAAACAATTTAAAAAAATTAGCATATGTCAACAATATTAGGCTACATACACAAACATTTCAAATGAGTTCTGATACCAAAGATAAAGTCTTTAGACCTTTCCTGATCTCCAAGGTGCATGTGCTGCTGTTACAATGAGTTCGACTGATTAAAAATATTTAGTTACTCACTTCAACAATGGAGCGTTGCATTCGGAAAAGGAAAAAAGAAAGCAATAGGGAACGGAAATGAGACCTGAATATTTTTATGAGAGATAGAAAGAGATATGAAGCATCTATATAGCAATCGACTTTCCTCCCCTCGCCTACTCTTTCCCAAATCTAACCTTTGTACTTTTACTCAAAACCAAAATTGGCAGTGGCTTGACTTCCCAACACCCCCTGATAAACTCTTTATGATGTTTCTCAACGCTCTTTCCAAGCAAATTTTCGTTAACACCTACATTTTTCACCTCTTTCAATATCCCCCCAACACTTTTTCCACCTTTCACCCCTTTCCACTCTACTACCGTTGGGCATAGTTTGGAAGACCCAGATATAACTTCCAATGTTCCATGATTGCCCAAACAAAATGTAGTTCCCCTCTTTAATTCGTGTGCATTCCAGATGGGCTTTTTACTACTGTCCACTTTTTCTTGCTTGAGCTTTATAGAGCAATTGGAAAGTAGTGATTCATTAATTTGTAGTGAGGTTTGTAGAACGGGGTATCCTTTGGTTTTCGTTGTAAGGGAACAACAGCGTCCGAATCCATCTTGGTTGTGAAAATCAAGACATTCCTTTCCAACAACTACCATAGTTAATGATTCTTCAGAGTCTTCTAGAAATCCTGTCCATGTATGTTCGGACCGAAATAATGTAACAATCCATTCCTCAAAAAATTTGCAGGTGTCCAAATCCACTGAAACTAAAATATTTGGTGGAGTTGGAAGTCCGGTGGCAATGTTATTTTGTACTGGTGATTGAATTCCGCCGCCAGTAGTACTATTTTTGATCGAGTCGGGCTGTCCAATAGAATCATCATCATCCTCCCCATCTGAATCCCCATCCGCATCGAAAGATTCAACCCAAAAGGCACTTAATTCCTGATTATCCTCATCAATGCCCGTCTCTTCTAGTGCATCCAAACACTTGGAAATTGCATCACCAATATTTGCCTGCCAATCTTTATGTGCTTTCCAAATTTTTCGAAATGACTTTGGGCAACGTAATGCTTTGAGATATGAAGACTCGCAGATACCGTTATCCCATGTGAAGGATATGGCACGAAGGTAATTAACCATAGTATCAGACGCGAGAATGTTTAACAATCGTCGACGACGAGCATTGCGAGAACAGAGAGATACCTCAACTCCAGAGTAAGCTTCAAGATCAAGAGGATTTCGTAAACCATGTCGCCATCGCTCTACTAAGGCATCCTTCATTGTGTGCCCGATTCTCCGTTTATAAGTTACTTGGCCTGCTCCAGAGATAAATCCCATGGCGCTTCCCTGTATTTGTATTGCATGTGAATCGACATATCGTCTAGCACGAGAAGTATTAGGTGAGCGAAGAGCTTGTTGATCCGACAATCGGCTTTTAATACGTAAGACGCGTTCAGGAGATCGGATACACTTTTCATTGACGAGAAGGCCATAATTGTTAGGTGCGCCAATTAATAAGATGTCGGAAGACAAAAAGTGTTGTCTCGGTAACGATTCCTGGTTTGCATCAACTTCTTTTTCGTTCCAACTCTTGAATGGTATCCAATGACAAAAGACTTCTGAGTTTATAGGGACCAAATAGGTGTCATTATCACCGTTTTGTGTTGTCCATGGAATGATACCACCATTCCCAATATCATATTGCTTAATCTCATTTGGCGAGGAGTTTTGCATTATTCTCCAAGACGGTCCCCAAAGATCCGTTAGAGCTTCGATGGTTGATGATAGACACAAACGTGTTTGTTGATTAGGAGAGCCATGGTCGAGGCTATGAAAAACCCATGGCTGCTTCCCTCCTAAGAATCCATCCATACATTGTAACTGTCGACGGCATAGTTCGACACCCAATCCGCCTAGATTCGAGATGCCAGAAAGAACTCCAAGTCCATTGAGGGAATTATCATGATACTTGAACCGCTGTGGGATATGGAATGATGGGCTTTCCTTCTCCACCAACTCTGCATCGAAAGGTTGAATGTGAGCGCCAGCGTATGATAAAATTGCTAGTTCGATAACTTGAGTTGTAAGTTGCCAAACAAAGCCATCTGATAGCCGACTAGCCCTATCGGGCAATGTTGAGATCGACATTATACTCAAGATCTCGAGGCATTTCTGGGTTAGGATTAACGAATTGTCGGAATCTTCTATTAATCGATCGAGCTCTTCCGCGGCGAAACTGTTGTAAAATGGGCCTGAAACGAAACTGACCAATATTATACCCATGAACTCTTTGAAAGCTCCTACTAAATCTAATATAGTTTGTATTTCAATCTGAATAACTCTCACAACCTCGGCCCTCCGCTGATCTTGTACTAACAAGGATATATGCTTTGCACAATAACCATTCTCTTGAAGTACGGTAAGATTATTGCCGGCCCAATGAGCCCTGTTATGACATACGAGAATGTCCAAAAGAAGTTCGGAGTCGGAGTATCTAATGATATCCAGACAATAATCAGTCTGATAATTATAGTACTCTGGTGCAGGAAGGCAAAGTAAAGCTTCATCCTGGGCTGGTCCAGTAGAATCACCAGTTTTATGGATGAAAATTCCTGAATTGTTGAAAACTTGCTGTTCTAAGGATTTCAGTTTGTCAAAGTAAGCCTTTGGGTTTGTTATTCGTTCTTCTGCTGAAACAGAAAGTTCTGGATCATCCGGAAGGTCGTCGGAATCGTAGTCTGTGCCGTTTGTGTCAGACTCGATATCACCAGAAGTAGTGATCAATATATTTGGAGATGTTTCTGATATTTCATTCGACAAATTGTTATCAGAAGAACTTGATACAATTTCGAAGATATCGGGCTTGGCTTGATCTACGGCAGAATATGAATCCACAATAGAATGAGCTCTCATGAGTTTGAAAAACCTCTGAACAACTAACACGATTCTCGCTTGCTTTGCCAAGATCAATCTAAATCGTTGAAATTTACTGGTGTGGTTGGTTTCGAGGCGTGAGGGGCTTTTTTTTTCAATATGGACTTGTGACACTCTCCCCGAATCATCCTCAGGTAGTTGTTCCCAAATAGATGGCAGCTTAGGGGTTGTATCCTTCAATCCATAGTCTCTTTCATCTGCTAGAGGAGATTTGCCGGTATCGTAAAGCTAGAGGACATCAATTTGCATATTAAAGAAGGAAAAATAATATGTAGAGCTACCTCGTTGTTTGCAGACATGCCGGATGCTGAGACGGCAGCGGCTATCATATGGGTCTCCGGATTCCATGGCTCGTTTGAAGCTGGATATCCATCGCAGACAGACCTCAACTTTTGACATCTTCTGCAGACTGGCTTTGTTTCATCGCATTTGACTCGTCTCGCTCTATTATCATACGTTATTCATGATGTTCCGGAGGTTTTGACATTGAATAGCATACTTGCAAGTGTTGCAGCCAGTCTTGACCTTTGCGCGACTGTGCTGATGTGCTTTATGGGGCTTCTTGCTCTCTATATTTGTCAGTATATGATCGTTCAAGAACTTTTCAAGACGAGCAACCGCAGGTCAACGTACCATGAGAGCCGCCACCTTCATCATTTACATGCGCATGCAAATTTCCACCATCAGAAAGAGACATGTAATCTCCCTCAAACTCTCTTTTGCCATATTCAGGCATAGTGAGTTGTTGAACCAAAAATCTGATTAGCAGGTAGAGACTAGTCGAACAGTTTTGTTGTTCAAGTCTAGACGATTTTGTGTATATCCTCAAAGGACGAATTTTGTGATTGAAGACTTGGTTTCCAAAGCTTCAGAAATTAGCAACCGTCAAAAGCTATCTGCCAGCCTTGTTGCGGCAATCAATTCCTTCGCTCTACCATACCACAAAAATTATGAGACATACCACAAAATTTCAACAGCACTTGTTATCACTCAGTCTCATCACTCCACGGCGCTAAAAATATTAGTAGAGAAAGAGCCGAACAAGATATCACGGAAAGAAAGGATGTCCTCAAAGATGAACGATTGAAGGCGGGGAATGTGACAATGCTCAGCCTCAATCTAGAATCTAGATGCATGATCCGTAGAAAGTTGTCAGCAAATGGCACGGGAATTAGCCTGGCCCCCAAATGCGAGGTTTGGCTTGAACAGACAGCTATTGGCTGTACCTTCCAAGATCGCATGGGGCAAACCTCAATACGATCTTGGTAAAGTCAAGCAAAAATCAAGTGCTAAGTAGCCGAACCGACATGTAATATGCAATTATGGAAATTCAAAGTGTATAAAGATTCCGGAATCTGAAGTCCTTGTTCGCTGATGATAATTCAAAATGAAAAGAAATTGCTGTGGCAATTCAGCCGCTGCCAGTGATGCACAAAACTCTTGTATGTGACCATCATTTCCTTCTGTATTCGACAAGAAATTTCCAAGAGACCCAGCGATACATATCACCTCGCCACATGAGATGGAATACAGTTTGGTTGGTTAGGCATACTACCAATCCCCGGCAGACTTGGTAGAGTATACTGGTACTATCTTCACCTATTGAATAATTAGCACTTTGGTTTACATGCCAAAAGAGCTGTTACAAGCCTGGTTGATAACTTGACCATGGAGGTATTTTCCAGGTAAATAAGCCTTGTATGAACACAATGCACGAACAGAGCCAAGACCGAGGAGAGTTTTCAAGGCAGCAAACAGACGACGTGTGAGATCTATGATGTGGATCGGAATGATATAGTTAGACTAACTGACAGAAGGGCTCACAAGGATAATTTACTTGATGCAGCAAATGTAAAGCTAGGTATGTAAGATTATGTATGATGTTGTAATAATCGTAATGCGATAATGTAGTGTTTGATGAGGAGGGAAAAGGAGCTTAATCACAAGAGGCGCAGATGATTGATTTTGAGAAAGCAAAACATGAAATAAGGGTGAATATCAAGAGATTTCTCTTTGAATAGGGAAGGGACTACCTCATTGGGTGGAAGATCAGAAATCAGCAATACATTTCTTCCCTGAAAAACGGACGAAAGTCACCAAAGGAGTCGTCATTCTCGACTTTATACACGGGAACGAAGAAATGGGGATACGGCAAGCAATAATTTGCAGCTTTGACTGTGAAGGGTACCGTGGACTTAAGATGTGTACATGTAGCCTAAAGGAAGTAATGTACCAAGGATCGGATGAGATTTAGAAGATGTTGATGTGTGATCAATTAGACCAGAATCACCAATATTGAGTAGTTTTGGCGTTTCAAGGTTGATATTCGAAACTCCAGTATCTCTGACTTTACTTCTCTACATCCCCTCCGTTCAAATGTCCCAAGAGGCCTTTTTTGGAAACGTTCATAGCACGTTGTATCTCCGCCTCTTCATCTCTTAGTCTACCCTTTCCGAACTCCAAGGCTCTTTGCTGTTTCCGTTTCTCTTCCGCTACTCTTCTTTCTCTTTCCTCTAATGCCTTCTGTCTTCTTTCCTTTTCCAAATTTTGCCTGGTGGTTTCCTCACTGTCTTCTACAGTAGCGATTTCAGGTGGTGGCGGTAAAATGGCGATGAAAGCTTCGATCAGAGGATCTCTTACGGCTGCATCCAGCGAAATGTATCTTATGTCCCCGAGGATCGTTGCCGGCAAATGAGAGATGAGAGTCGCATTGTTCAAGGCAGATGGAGATTGAGATTTCAGGAGCGTGGAAAGGTCAGATTTCAGGTTCGATTGTGGAAGTTTCAGTCGATTGATGTGTTCTCTGTAAAACTTTTCCCGGTCCTTATCTAACAATGATGGGTCTCTCATTTCCGCTTCCTTTTTGTATTTCCGTTTGAACTCTGGCCAATATAATTTGGGAGTTGCGTATTTTTGCAAGAACGCCAAGTATGAAATCTTGGGATCCTTCCTCTCTTCTTTGGCTCGTAGTTCTCGAAGTTGTGCAATCTTTTCCTTTGACCATTCGTCCCATACTTCCCGTCGCGATTTCATATTCGTAAGAGCTGTGTAACGAGTATCCTCCACAATTTTCCCATCCTCGATCAATTTCTCCCACGGCCAGTATGGATTTATACCGAAGTCATTGAGCAAATCCTTGAAAAGAGCTGCCGAATCTTCCAATGACAATTCCAATCCCTCTGCGCCCGGTTCCCAGTCATCCATATTGCCATCATCATATTCTCCGGGATCTAATCCGTATTCTTGACCCATGGCTGCGAGCTGGTATGCGATATCGTCTTCATTGAATTCAACAGGTTCGTCAGGATTGAGTTCTTCGGTTCGTTGACGTTTCGAAGGATTTCCCACGTCCTCGTCATCTTCTCCTTCATCATCTGTGACTTCCACTTCTTCATATTCAGAGCTGTCCTCTCCATCATGATGCGAAACCTCAGCAGCCGTATTGCTGATCCCTGGCCTTTGCGCAGGCCCAGAGACTTTGGAATTTTCTTCGGTATTCTGGTCCTTCGAAAGTGACTCTGCCTTTTCTTGTATTCTCAACTGATCCAGCTTCAAAATGCCATCCTTGAGCTTATCTGGTATTCGCCAAAAGCTTTGATCCTTCTCAGTATTGTAGACAAACCTTCTTCCATATTTAGTATGTACAAGGATCCAAGGTTCGCATCCTGGAATGGGAAAACGCGACTTTGGCTTGTCATTTGGCTGTGGTCGATTCTCCCGTGAGCGTTCATGACCACCTCTACCTCCTCGGTGACCTTGTGAGCCACCTCTACCGCCTTGAGTCTGTGCATAATCTCGAGAAGGAAGACTGTTGAAATTCGGTCCAGCACTTGGTATTGAATTCCCAACAGACTGATATTGAAGAAAGCTTTGAATTGGATCTGGAACAGGTTGTTGTGGTATCACTATTGGTACCGGTCGCGTATATGTAGATTGTTTAGTTTCAGCATTGTAGTAGTAAGAATGTCCTTTGCACATTAGCTATGATACGTCTGGAGAAAATAGTTCTTACCTGTGGGAGCTTTATGCTCAGTCCATCCCGGTGGTAAAGGAGGTTGAAGGGTTGGTTTGTGAGTTGATTTCAACATTCTTTTTGCATAAAAGTCGTATGCAATTGTGTAAGTTACCAGATGATACTGTTACCTAGTATCTCATCAATTCTCTTCGTTGTGAAATTAAAGATTTATTAGGCGCATTGGAAAGAAGAATGACATCGATACAAAATTATGATTCAAATGATATGTGAGGCTAAAACGAGCGTGAGGCTGTAATACGAGGCTGTAAGGCCAACAGAATCCGGCGCTAAGCTCCGCACTACTACGCGTGGTTCGGATCGTGCCTGGAGCTCCAATATGAGGTTCGAGTTGAGCTTGGAGATATAATAACATCGCTGTCAACGAAAAGAGGTTATTTTAACTTCAATTATTCTACAACCATATCGAAGATCGAGCGTATCTATTTATCGTCTTTCTCTTCTAGATACCCCTCCTTCGAAACAAATAAATACCCATCTTGATAAATCGCAATCATGTCCAGAAGATACGATTCAAGAGTAAGCTCCAAATAACTCACAGCTCCTAGATACCTAGCTGACTTTTGCGAAGACTACTATCTTCTCCCCAGAAGGACGTCTTTACCAAGTCGAATATGCCCTCGAGGCTATCTCTCATGCAGGAACAGCATTGGGAATATTAGCAAAGGATGGAATCGTATTAGCAGCAGAAAGAAAGGTTACTAGCAAGTTATTGGAGCAGGATACTTCAGCTGAGAAGCTTTACATCTTGAACGAGTATGCCAAATTGTTGTTTGGGTCTCATTATAGAATTTTCTGACATATTTTTAGCAATATGATCTGCGCAGTAGCAGGTATGACAGCTGATGCCAACATCCTCATCAATTACGCTCGCCAAGCTGCTCAACGATATCTCCTTACCTACAACGAAGATATTCCTTGCGAACAACTTGTACGTCGATTATGCGATTTGAAACAAGGTTACACTCAACATGGTGGTCTTCGTCCCTTTGGCGTTTCATTCATCTATGCAGGTTACGACCCACAGAGAGAGTTCCAACTATACCAGAGTAATCCTAGTGGCAACTATGGAGGATGGAAGGCTACAAGTGTTGGTGCAAATAACGCTAGTGCTCAGAGTTTGTTGAAGCAGGACTACAAGGAGGACTGTGATCTGAAGGAGGCTTGTGGAATGGCGGTCAAGGTGTTGAGCAAGACCATGGATTCTACAAAGTTGAGCAGTGAGAAGAGTAAGTGAATTTGACTGGACTTGGAAGTTCTTTGCTAACGTCGATACAGTCGAGTTTGCGACAGTAGGAAAGAACAAGGATGGCACCATTTACCATCACCTCTGGGGTGCGGATGAGATTACGACATTATTGAAGGAACATGACTTAGCTAAGGATGAGACTGGACCAGATGGAGATCGAATAATCAGTTAAATATCTTTTAATGGTCTAGACTCAAGGACTATGTAACAACAATAAATATCTCGTCCGCAGACCGCAATGCCAGATCAATGAACTACAAGATTATGTTTTATAACCTTTGACACTGTTGACCTTTTCTCCCCCGTTGCTGGTCCATACTCCCTCCAACTTTTTCCTATATTCATGCAGTTTGTTCAGTTCCAATTGTAATTTCTCATCCGGTGAGGCATCACTAGGAGCATTTGCGAAATTTGATTTTGCATTTCTCGCCATTTTCGGACCATACTTGATCTTTTTGCTGTCCAGGGCCTTTTCCAAAGCGTTGATATTGCTTCTCACTTTCGTTTCGTTATCCTTCTTTTCCTTACTGGCCCCCCTTTTCCTTTTTTATCGTTCTTGTTTTGCTGTTGATTATTATTGTCGTATGTTGACTTAGGGATGATCTGCTCTCCATAAGGCTGGTACGCAGGTCGTGGGGGTAGCGTCTTTCCTGGATATGCAGGTGGAGGCGCAATTTCAGATGGTCGTGTTAATTCGGCCTCACAAGCTACCTGTATTCCATGCGCTCGACTCATCTCATTGGACATATATCGAGCCAAATCAGGATCATCTCGAGGAATCAAGTGCCAGTAATTATTCGTGGTTTGGATAAGTTGGATCAATCGGATGCTTAGATACTCCATTTCAATACGTGAAAGCATCAAAGCTAATAAATCAAAGCTCTTTTTGGGCAAGAAGGCGGTATTATCGCGTTCGTGCTGTTCGGGCCATGGAGGAGGTACTTGTCGAAACATTGTGATTCTTTGGGTGAGATTGTTGATTGAGGCTTGTAGGTCCCGGTAAATTGGATATCGTCGATCAATACGTTCCTCCAAATCAGTTTTGTATGCCGCATCGGTAGCGGGCTCGATATATTGGCGTACAAGTTTTAGTTCAATTTGTGCCATAAGTCCTCGCCCTTCGACGGCTTTCATGGCTTCGTGCACATGAATTGCTCGTCCGTGATCGTCATCATATGGCCCATTCCAGTATTCTTGACTCCCTGGCACGTTTTTCTCGCGAATGTATAAGTAAAGTTGCCATACTCGTTCCAAGAATCTCCGAATCTCATTTCGAACAAGTTGTGCACAGAGTTCCCATTTGTTAGAATAAGTTATGTTCTCAGAGTCTATACGGATAGGTGCAGGTTCCCATATTGGTACTTCCATCTGACGATCCGTTATGATTATCGTAAGGTTTCGCTCAGAATTGAAGAGTCCAAGATATATACCCCATATAAGCTCTTTGAACGATTTAAAGTCTACAGGCGGCGCAACGTTGACAGCTCCTATCGCAGTAGCGAGATTGCCGGGTACAACACCAACACCAGGCATATTACCTTGCCACACGCCTCTCAGTTGTTCCCCCATCTCGTTGATCACTCTCGCCCCCTCTCTGTTTCGTTGCTGCAAAAACATGACGTAATCACTACTCACATCCTTCTGCTGAATTTCCATTTGCAATGCTTTGATCATCTGCACGGATGCGACAATATATCCTTGAATAGTGAGAAGATCCTTTTCTTCGAGATGAACACCAATTTCTCGAGCGGCAGCTTCAGCAAGTTGCCATAGTTTATACAGGTCTGAACGTATAGCTTCAACTTCTTCCCGAGGAACACCACTTCGCTCTCTCTCTTCCCGAAATATTAATTCTCGCCGCACCACGATTAACAACTCTTCAAGCGTGATGTTTTTATTGAGCGTTACTTTATGTCCCACTGGAGCCCGAGCAGCTTCGAGATCAGCAGCGCAGGTTTGTATTTGTCGTTGCATATCCAATAGTCGGTTAAAATGCCTATCCCTTTCATCACGATATTGCGTCTCTTGAGCAATTCTTGATCTTGTTCTCGCCCTTGATGATTCCAGCTCTTCTCGCAAATGCGACAGTTCTGCTGGTGGGTTAAAGTTGGCCTCTCCCCTAACTCGATCTAGATCCTGTTCGAGATGGGCAACTCTGTCGGATACCCAATTGGACCAACATGGACAATTAGGAAGTGTCTCGGGACTGTTTTGGTCTTGATGTTCACAATGATTGCCACCCTTGTAATCGTTCCATATTCTCTGGCCATCTACCGTGTCTGGGGGAAGCATTGCGGCGTTTCGATTGAAGTTGTGGAACGCGGGTTGTTGGACATAAGATTGTTGGGATACTATCTCAAAACAAAGATAGACTATTCATAGAAAGCGAAACACATACAGCAATTATATCGTAGGTGCAATCGAAGAAACAAAACTCAAATTGTGAGCTGTTCAACAAAGACATACGGTATCCCAGTAAGCCGATTGATATACATTACAATCTCGACGAGTACAAAGGAATTGTTAGAAAGTTTGACTACCAAAACCGGCAGTCTAACTCCCGATGACAAAGGAAAACACGATCAACATATATAAGTACAGAATAAACATAGGAAGTTAAGGACAAGAGTAGTTGTGAAGATGAGTATTGTAAATATTTACCAATGTCAGTAAAGGCGAAGCTAGGTCCCATCAGAACCAGCTGTATGAGTATCAAAGATTTTCTGTATGTCTTGCTTGTTAAATGAGGCGAATCATGATATGATACAACAGCATACGCCTCTCGTTCTTCTTTTCGCCATTAGAGTGTCTTTTCAGCGCTGCCGCTCCTTTGTGAACCCTATATACCGGACGCGATGAAAATTGGAGTGAGATTCACGTCATGATAGCGACGCATCATGTCATAGGCCTTTGCAGGGATTCCAAGCGCCTTGATCATTGACTTAATTACTCATGTCTGAAAACCCAGAGTTGATGGTGGTATGATTGGGTCAATGTAAGGGACCAAAATCAACATTTGATGCTGTTTCTAGGTATCGCGACAGTCTTTGACCGATAACAAATCATTGAGTTCCCATAGTTCACTGAACATTAAAACAAAGTCCAGAAAAAAGCCTGTCATCTGATGAATCACCCGTGATGACTTTTAATTGGATAGAGGGCGGTTTTGGTAATCATCCAGACAATCCTTAAACGGGTAATACTTAATAATGGTCTCTTCATGCTGTTTTGCGGAGCGTTTGGCCTTGAAGTGCATCAGCTTGAAACCATTAACTCGAGCAGGGCCAATTCTTTCCAACCCGACTCTGATATCTTCTAGATCATTGAGGACGTCGTTCGGGCGTCCTCTTGTTGGAAAGGAGAAAAGCTTTGAGGCCCTCTCCGGGAGATTTGACCAAGTGCGCAACCATCCTTCGGGTTTCTTTCCAACAATCTTACTTGGAGGAAATTCTTTTTCGACCTCGCGAAGTAGGGACCTTTTGAGCTCAACGAATGGCTGGGATATTATCGGGATATATGCACTGCTCCTATTTCTTTCGCTATTTGTACTAATAGTTTCGGTATCTGCATGAAAATTGTATTCAGGTTCGCCCTCGAAGGGATCCATTGAGAAACTGCCTTGCTCGTCTGCAAGTTGCTTCAAAAGCCAATCCATGCGAAATGCGTATTTATTAGGGATTCTTTCTCGAAGTGTGGGCTCAAACCGAGGGTTGAATAGATATCTCCTTGCAAGGAACCCAATTTTTTCATCGGCAAGAACTTTTTGCGTCCATGTTTCGTCGAAATATGCAGCTATAAGTAAATGGTGCTGACTTACAGGTTTAGTCCGTTCCCAAGGGGCTGGTATGTGTTGTGCGCTACGTTCAAGACCGGCTAATGGTTTTGATATTGCCTGTAGTGAGTAAGAAACTAACCCTGGGAGTATCCTTCTTGCCATTTCAAAGAAAAGTGTGGAATGGAATGTAACGATGTAATGCAATAAAGGTTGCTGTGGGAAGTTGCTGGTCGATATTGAGAGTAGCCATGAGAAATAAATTTGATCAAGTCAAACTCACGTGATTTGAGAAATCTTAAAATCTTTTTGGCCGACGAACCTGAAAATATCCCTATCCCAGGCCTAGCTCTCTAGAATCGATTCTACCGAGTCTATCCAACCACCACTCGGATAGATACTTCTTAAATACCTACACAGAGTACAACCACAATTGAAATATGGATGTTATGTCAAATGACAACTTCTTCGCTAGATATCTCGGAATCATCTCCTCGATACTCGAGCTCGTAAATGATTTCACCCCTTCTGATGATGAGTAAGGTATGGTATGATCCATGGACACACTTGGTATACGTATTCTTGACCAAATAAGTGACAAGCCTCTAGTGAGCTTATATCATGTATCTACTACTACTACATCCCTGTAAAACCTTCCGGCGAGTTATTTTGGCAACGAGGTTGTATACATCAACCTTCACGAACCCCAATTGATAAAAGTTCTCATACAATTTTTTTTTTCCCGACAAATCAATGTTCATACACAAGAATTGATTTTCGTTAAATTGCCCTGTTACCGGTGAGCTCGTGTGACGTTGACAGCTGAGCAAGGCAGTACTCAGGCCTGATAATTTGTCGGAAATCACTTTTGTGTGGGAAGATGTAAAGCTCGAAGCCTATGCCGCCCTTTAAACCTGTAACTATGTAATTGAAAGGCTCACGGTAAAATCTGTGGGTTTTTGGGAAATTATTTTTGGTGTGGGAACATAGAGCATACTTTCCATTTTCATTGAATGATTTAATTGAAGACAATTGATTAAATTCGATAACCGACCTCTATGCGCCAACCCCAATAACTCAAACAAACTTTTGCTTCGTAAGAACAAACTTCCAACACATATCATTAAGTGAAAACATCACTTGCATACCTATCGTTCTTGATGCCTTGAAACCAATCCTCAACCTCCTCATCCGTCTTAGTCTTTCCGAGTAAATCAGCAGCCTCCGCGTAAATCTTCTTAGTCATGACCGAGACACCTTCTCCAACCATACTCGAACCGCAGACATACAACTTTGCACCACTATCGAAAACCTTCTTTAGCTCTTCCCTTTCTTCCCAAAGTCTATCCTGAACATGACGACATCCTTTGCTTAATTCTGGGGCCTTTGAGAACGCGTAGTAGAGTTTTACTATACCATCCGCCTCCCATTTCTTCAATTCATCGGAGAACAGAGCATCTTTATCAGGATGTCCGCAGCCAATGAATAAGTACGCAGGGGCTAACTTTCGCCCAGCAGCTATTTGCAAGGCTCGCTCTTGTACGAACCCACGGAAAGGAGCTAACCCAGTTCCAGCGCAAATATAAATAACTGCCGTATTCTCCAAGTCAGTAGGAGGATGGAAAGCTCCACGACTTGGTTTGACAGAAACATGTACACGGTCTCCTTCTTCAACAGAAGAAAGATAATTTGACGCCACTCCCAAATGGCGTTTTGATTCACCGGCTTTCGAGACTGTATCAAGAACAGACCAAGTCAAGGTTGCAACACTAGGGTCCTCAAGTGGTGATGAGGAGATTGAGTATTGACGAATTCTCATAGGTGGAAGCATGGCTAAGAAATCTCCAAGGGATAGTGCAGCGGACGGATATTCTTCGAGTATATCCAGTGGCGAACGTCGTTTGAGTAAAATCTCCTTGTCAAAACCTTCCTTGGCTAGATATTCGATCTTTTCTCTCACTTCTGGCTCAGGTGTACTTGAGGCTATTTTTGCGACATTCTACAAAAGTTAGCATTTGGCAAAGCTAAAGATCGAGAAATAATACCTTTCGAGTTGCAACTTGACTGAGTTCGACGTAAGCCCCAAGAACGTCCCATACGGATATTGGGTGTCCAGTTGGTAAAGTAGTATTAGGACTAGCTTTGATATGTAACATAGCATCCCAAGGAAGTCCGTATTGTTTCAAAACTCGTCGAATGTTCATGGAATTGTTTATTGGAAGAACTGCCATGTAGTCGCCGGCACGATATGACATCCCAGTTGGAATTTTGAGTGATATATGTCGTTTCTCTGGTTCCCCGGGTGCTGTTAAAACCTTGTTGCTGAGAACAATTGACTCACGGACGTCTTGTCGAAGTCTAGATGAGCGAGAGGTAGAATCGATTTCAATCTCCAAACCTACTTCTTCTCCCCGATCCGCGCTGCTGGTTAATTTAGTCCAGAAATGATTGTCTTGCCATCCATCAAACGCCTCAAAGATGTCTCCAGCAGCAACATCGCCTAATCCAGTATCACCGATTCTAATAGCGCCGTTTTTCTCAAATTCGCTGTCGAGTAATTTGGGAACCCGGTGGAAAGTCGACACCCAATCACCTGCAATACTTGTTAATCATCACTTTATCCTTTCCAGTTCTACGCAACAGGAACACTTACGATTTCCGCATCCGTATACAGCATATTTGACGCCCTTAAGACGGTCACTACCTTGTAAGTTCTCCAACCACTCAACAAAATGACAGGCGTTATCGGGAGGTTGTCCCTCATAACTAGAAGATATCAAAATCACTGGCTGATCCTTGGGGATCTTGTCTACAGCAGCGTCAAGAGGATCGACTTGAGCCTCGTAACCACGTCCACTGGCTTCTCTTGCAAGACTTCGAGCAAGAGCTTCACATGTTCCGGAGTTTGAACCATAGAAAATAGACATTGGTTGTTTTGGTTTTCCAGAATTGCTCAAGACCTTGGTAAATTTTTGATCACTCTCTGACAGACGTTCCTTTGAAACATCGACATGTAACATTTTTTCGAGGTGAATAGGGTCAATGTCATCCCGCAAACTGGCGTGCATGAAGAATCCGTTTGGCTTGAGAGTCAAAGTTTGTTTGATAAGAAGGTTGTAACTTGGATCATCCATCCTGAAATTGAGGTTTTGCAAGAGCATAGCGACGATGAGAATTGACTCTTGCCAGGCGAAAGGCCTTCCGATGCAACCTCTCATACCATTGCCGAAAGGTTTCCAGGCGTTGGGTGGTAAATTTTTGAATGGCTCGTCAAGCATTCGTTCAGGTTTGAATGAGGAGACATCATCGCCGTAGACAGTAGGGTCACGGTGAACAGCAGGAATAAGAGCAAGAATAGGTTGCCCTGGCTTAACTTCGTATTTACCGCCAATGATGATAGGCGACTCAGTTGAATCTGGTAAAGGAAAGACCGTGAAAGCGGGTGCCGTGGGAGTCAATCTCAGTGTCTCTCGGAGACAGGCCTCAATATATGGGAGTTTTGACATGTGATCAATCGTGA